GGGGATTTGAAAGCCCATAAGAAAATACTCCTCCCTTTGAAAGGCCACAAAAACAATGTCCTGACATCTCTGAAGTCACAATACAGGCACTTGATCATAACAAATTATTAAACTTGATGAAATTCATTTCAGAACAGACCCGTGAAGATTCCGGGGTAGAATAGGTCTTCAGCAACCCATGCTTGCCGTAAAAGGTGACTATGCTTGTCGTAAAAGGCGACCAACGGGATCGGGTGGTCAGGCTCGCTGACTTGGTTGATGCATGTCATTGATCCCAATTGCGTGGCTCGATGCTCATGATATCAATCACTGGATTGTCTGGTCCAGACTCGATTGTTTACAGACCGTCGTCATATAGCTGGAATATTGCTGAGTGCGGCGTTAAACAACAAACCAACCAACCAACAACATTTCAGAACACGCACAATTAAGAAAATCATACACGAACCACTGTTTCTCGCCCACAGCTGTCACATTAATTTTCTTTCGTACACTGGCGTTGAATCCATGAAATCTTGAAACTGACAGGTCAAATCAGATCCCTTGTGTCAAAATAACCCGCTCGTCCGCAGCCAAAAAAAGCGGTTGTCAGTCATACTCCAGTTCCATTGGCAATCACATTGTACCAGCAGGCTCATTCCTAATAAAACTACAGGTTATGGTTGAACCACATCAAAGATCCGGGTTGTCACCTTGGTTCCTGTAACTTGTCGAAGGCATGAAAGTAAGAACGTAAACAACCATATTGGCAGCCATTGACAGTTGTGAGGTGTGAGTAAACCTGATGTAGGCCAAGTTCTTCCACATCCAAGTTCAGGATGGAGCGTCATTTCTTTTTACTTTTTACAAATTATTTACTGGGAGTAATTGCTAACGAAAAAGACTTACAGATGTAAAATAAAAAGTACAAGTCATTAAAGCTTGTTGAAGAAATATATTCGTTGAGCATTTTATAAACTATTTCTACAACCTGTCAATGGGAAATAGCATATTCACTTTCCAAGAATCAATCTCATGAAAATCAGATCTTAGTTTCCGCTACCGCTAAACAAAGATCTGAGGATATCACATTACGGGTCACGTCAGAACGACCTTTCGCGAATTTTGACCGACCAATCAAATGACTGACAAGAAATCGACAATGGCCAATCAGAAGGCAGCTTTCTCGATCTTTACGACTCTAGCTTCAAGCTGGCGACTACGCTTCGAAACATATTTCGAAGTATTCTCGATTAAAAAATTTAAAACTGATAAGAAGAACATTCGGGAATAGCTTATAGATGGTCTAGATTGTATGGATATAATCATAAAACACGTAACTGTCGTTCGGAATACCCCGTGTTAAATATATCGTGGTTGTATGATTAGAAAACACATTCCGACTGTCACTTTCATGATCTGGTAAGCGACGCTCTGATTGGTTGGATGAAAGATCGTTTGGACGTGACCCGTTATGGGATGTCCTCAGATCTTTGTTTAGCGATAGATTTTAATGAGATTGTCCAAGAATTGACTTGGTGGGTCAAAGAGGGCCCAGCATGTTGGCATGAAATTAAAACTTCTTTTGACTAGGTTTGAAGGGTTATTTGTTAACTTCTTGGCATTTCGTTTCATTAACTGTCTCGGGTATGAAGAGAAGGGCCATTGTGGACAGAATGAACAAACGGGTCATGCAACTTTCAATAAGTAATACTGAATACTTGTATATTTGAGAGATTAGGCAATGCTAAAATTATATTATTACTGCGATAATAATGGTATGAAATTAATGAATGGGTATGCACCCTTCCAAACCGACCTTCCCCCTAGCGTTCAAGAAATATGTCATCTGAAACGGCGACATGACGTCATAGTGTTTTTTTTACGTCACATTTCAAATTAAAAACATGGAAATAATGTTACATTTTTATCACTGTTCACTAAAACAGTACAGTTTTAGGTGATTTTAAAACAGTACATTGAAAATAGAAGTATAATCAAGCAATTTTATACAATAAAAGACTATTATTTACAAAACTTTTTATATATACTGACGAAGAAACGTTACCATACTGAAATTTGGACAAATTTGAGCGCAAACCCCAAAATGGTGAAGGAACAATCGCCCAAACATAACCAAAACAATTTGCTGAATGATGGAGTGCTACAGTGCCCAGATCAATGGAACTTGAGTTTCTTGCTGAATAATGGAGTGCTACAGTGCCCAGATCAATGGAATTTGAGTTTCTTGCTGAATAATGGAGGTGAGGTGAGGTGAAATTGGGTTTAACGTCGCGTCCAAGATTATTGCACTTATATAGCGACGTGCATGCACGTGTATGTGTGTGTGTGGCTGCTTGTACTAGTCCGGACTGATGCCGATTTATAGTGCTAGTTCACTGAGATACCATGCGGCAGTTTAACATAAATACCCCACTCAGACACAGTATACTGACTCCGAGCCGACCAGTCCTTGTTTTAGCCCCTTAATGCCGAGCGCCAGACAGGGTAACAACAAGTACAATATTTTAACGTCTTTTTGTATGACGCGGCCCGGGATCGAACCCTGGACCTTCCGCTCTCCGGGCGGACGCTCTACCACAAGACCAGGAGGCGGTCGCTGAATAATGGAGTGCTACAGTGCCCAGGTCAATGGAACTTGAGTTTCTTGCTTAATAATGGAGTGCTACAGTGCCCAGATCAATGGAACTTGAGTTTCTTGCTGAAAAATGGAGTGCTACAGTGCCCAGATCAATGGAACTTCAGTTTGAAGTGAAACTTTGGCTGCACTTACAGCATGCCGACCCAAACCGTTGGAAAGTAGAATACTAAGATTAATCCTACAACCGAGAGAACAAGCTGTAGGTATGATACACCAGGGAGCAACGCATGATCACGTTGCAAGGAGTTTGGGCTACAGACCAATGATAGTCACTAGGCGTATGGCCTGATTTAGGCAGATTTGGCGGAAGAGAGACAGGCCTAGGAGTGGCAGACCTCCTGTCACCAACACCAAGGGAAACTTTATAAGCGTATCCCCCATCTGATCATGAGTAACGATATTATCACTGTGACGTCATCAGCTGAGACAGTCATCCTATCAGTCACTGGACAGTGTCCAGAAGACTGCGTCAGTACAATATCAGAGCTTGCAGCCTACTACGAGACGTAACGCTGACACTGCAACGCTGGCAGAATAGAAACTGGCAAAGAGTCATGTTCACAGAAGAGAGCAGATTCAAGTATTTCCTAGAAGAAGGGGCACGGGTGGCCCAGTCGTCTAAGGCGCCGCGATTCGCTGTGCAGAGTTGTGCCCCTTGGTCACGCCAGAAACCTATGATTGTGGGTTCGAATCCCGGTTCGCCCCGATTATGTTTCTAGGTTTGTCAGCACCATACCCGTGCTCGTGGGTTTCACCGAAGTGGTAAACGTCTAAGACCTGCATCACTTGGGGCTTTCCTCCCACATTAAGCTGACACGCCGTGATAAAACTGTAATACTGTTAAAAGCGGCGCTAAACCCAACTCACTCACTCACTCATTTTCCTAGACGATGGAAGGATTTGTGTCAACCACCGACATGGAGAACATTGTTGCATTCCGGATGTCGAACCGTTTGGATTTGGCAGCATCTATAGCCCTGTCAATGCGGCATCATTAGCCCTAGTCAAGGTGGCATCTGTATAGTCAAGTCAATGTGGCATTATTAGTCCTATCAATGCAACAAGCCAAGGCAGATGTGGTGATTTTTGAAGGAAACATCACTGGACAGCATTACATTGGCCAATCTCTCTACCCTGCTACAGGACAGGACAGGCCCTGTTTCAACAAGATAACACAAGACCCAATCCAACTTCTTGCCTTGGCCACAACAATCACCAGACGTATCACCTACAGAACTCTTGTGGGATCAGCTTGACCGTCAAGTTAGAACACGACCAGGCGGCCCTTATAACAAGGATCAGTTACCACAGGCCCAGTGAGAAGAATGGTGTTGAATCCCATTTCTTGTGATCAGACGTATCACATCTTCTCAAGGTCGTGTTGGTGTGTGCATTGAATCCCGTGGAGGGCATACACAATACTGACTGACAATTGTGACATTCCGAAGGTTAAGAGGACGTTTCATGTCCTGATTTCAGTCTTGATGGTTGATCGAATACTGAACAATTGACCTCATCCTCCAAACTGTGGATACAGTGCCTTCTTTTTTAATCTCATTTATGGTATAACTTGTAATGATGTTGATATAAAATTCATATCTTTTGACAATACAAGTATGTTTATTTTGTATTTTTTTGTAAGTAAGGGTAAATGATGTTTTATGGGTATTTCACATCCCAGTCAACAGCTGATTCAGTCATATCACAGCGGGACAAGTTTCATAACCTAGTCCAAGGACAAGGTGACTTGATTATGAATTTTCCCACGCAATATTCTGTATTGATAGGGGGCACGGGTGGCCCAGTTTTCTGTGGCGCCGCGATTCGCAGAGTTGCGTCCCTTGGGCACGCCAGAAACCTATGATTGTGGGTTCGAATCCCGCTTCGCCCCGATTATGTTTCTAGGTTTGTCAGCACCATACCCGTGCTCGTTGGTTTTACTGAAATGGTAAACGTCTGAGACCTGCATCACTTCGGACTTTCCTCCACATTGACCTGACACGCCCTGATATAACTAGAAGAAAGCGGCGTTCAACCCTTTACACTCTCTGTTTTTTTCAAGCAGATGGAGGCTGTGTTTTTTATTTACAAATAAATATGAGCTGTGTTTTTATGCAACCCCAAGAAATCAAATGGACCACTCCTAATGGTCCTAATTAGCAAAACAAACAAAATGCCACAAATTAGTCTGTGAGAGTACTCTTTATGAGAGAAACACAAACTCCAACACAACACAGTCATATTTCTGTGTCAGGAGCTTCCATGTGCACCAAGCTCCTCCCCAGCGCGTGACACCTTCAGTCGAGTAGAGAGCTCCGCGAACGGACTATCGCTGTGAGGAGCTTGCTTCTACAAATGTGTACTTCCGGTCAACAAGAAGAGCGCGTTCATCGACGTGCTTCGAGTAAATACAAGGATTTCATTCAGAATTTTGTTCATGTTATGGTAATTGACATGGCTATTTCCTTGTATACATGACATACGATTAATGTGTAACCCTTGTTTTGATGTACAAGCAGTTTGTTATTCTTGATAAGCTAGTCGAATATCAGTGTGTTTGTTTTCGCTTCTGACGGCACTGGTGTTGAAAGATGGAAAAAGTGTTGAAAGTTTATTCCCAGTGCATTGTTGTCAATTACCTAAATGTAATTTGAATTGTCAAGTCGAGTAGTTGAGTGGAGGTACTAGCTATTGCTGGATTGAAAGTTGACACAATTGCAAGATCAAACTCAAAATAATACTTGATTGCAAGATGGGGGAGTAGTGCACATTACCGGGCGCACTTTTTCAGATCCAATTAGTGCTGTGGGGGCCCAAACACGCTTCGCTGGCTCACTGGCTTGGCTAAACAATGCGTTAATTAGCCGACGCTCTACCACTGGACCACGAGCGCTATCACATGTAATCAGTGCTCGTTTAACGAGTCATCAGCACCCCATTAACAAGCATGTGTAATTCAGTAAACAATGAATTGCGCATGCATGTGACGTCACGGTCTCCCATTCATTTATTCTTGAAACCACACCCGCCATTGTTTATGTTAACATGACCGACCAATCGGATTAACCGGATTAACACTTGAAAAGGTAAGAATTTATGGCTAACCCTTGCTCAAAGCAAGCTAACCCTAAGGACCGAAAAGAGGTGTTGGATCGTAAAGACGTGTAAGTTTCCCTAAGACCGAAAAGGGTGTTGGATGGTAAAGACTTGTAAGTTTTTGGATAGTGAAGCGAGAGTCACTGGAGCGTGTGGCACAGTAATGGTATAGCGAGACAGCGGTGGCACTATAGTGCGGTAATTGAGTGGATGGTAGAGCTCAGGCTGCGCCCCGATAAACTGCATTGTTGCCCATTGTGTCCGAATCCACTGGTCCCTGAAGATGGATGATGATATTACTGAAGCACTGGAATTATATATAAATAGACAAGGTACCTCAGTCGCCATCTTGGTCGAAGATAAAATCTGGTGTTTCATTTCAATTAAACTGAAATGTTGGATGTCATGCTTTCCACATATACACTGCATGCCACAATCCGGCATGTTTCACTATTTGTTACCTCTATTGGGTGATTTTGTCGAAATTTGCTGCATCAGGGCATTCCATTTATCAAAGAGTTAAGTGTTAAATAATCTCACCATTTCAGATATCCAGGAATATATGAGCCCACACCACCATGCAAGGCTATCAGCATGGTCAAGGTCAGTGGCCAGGAGGTTATGACAAAGGTGTGTCTATGATCAAACAAAGTGGAAGGGCACCTGAAAACACACCTGAATGGTACAGAGAGAAGGAAACAGATTCCCCCAGGATGAGCATGGTAACCCATGCATTGAAGTCCCTGCAAGACATGCGTGGTGGTCAGAGTGGGAAGCGCCCTGCAGAGGGCTTGAGGGGAGATTTTAGTGGACATGGTGGAGTTCCTGATGTCAAGAGGTCACGTTATGACTCAGGGTAGGTTTTGTTGGTTAGTGTTCCTTGAAGCAGATACAAGAATACCCTCGCTTATCCAATATATTATGCCTCAAATCTGTTCTGATACGTTTTTTAAATGTATATGTAGTTTTAATGCTGTCTCACTGTATCATCAAGCCATAACAAAACATGTTGCATGTTTTTAAAGGCATTATCTCCTTCAACCTTGATGTTTTTTCAGAGGTCCACGAGAATCGATGAATCAAGATCAGAATGACAGCTGGAGGTGTACCAAGGTGAGTTCTTCACATTTGAGGGATGGTGGCGTTGCCTATTTGTTAAAGCATGGCCTTAGTCATGTTGGTTTGAAGCCAATATCTGGTTGACTATTGCTAAAAGCGGTAAGAAAGAAGACTCATTTTCATCAAATTCTGTTGTGATGGAGATTCTGAGCTGAATCAATAGCAAGTCAATATAATTGTTAATTTTGTTCATCATGTTCATATTATAAATTTATATACCTCGGGGTACCCAATAATTCATTTCAAGGGCCCTTACAGGAAATAAGAGGGTAAAGGAATGAAATTGTATAGTGCACTTTACTTCAATCATGATTACAGGACCTTTATATTTCTTGTCAAGAATTTGGTACAATCAAAATTATTCACCTTCCAGAGGCAAGGGAGTTAACTGACTGTTAAAGTCCAGTTTCCACTATTGCTGAATTGGACTGGAATTTCTGGGCTCAATTATAGCGCCACCAGTGGCTATTACAAGTTATGTCCCTCCTATTGACCAATCAGATTCCCCATCTTATATCACTTGCATTTGCTTCAAACAATATGGTGATGCCCATTGCAGACAATCTGATAGATCTATTTTGTAATAACGATCTTTCTTCCCTTAATTGAAAACATGAAAAGGTTTGGAAAATATCTGCATGATCTGTTGACGCTAAGTTGATGGTACACGTTTTGAAAATCCTGCAATCGACCCGAAATCTGCACTGCAGTTTACGGAACAGATGTCAATTTCGTTATGCGATTTTGATTGTACGTGTACGATGCATAGACTGGTTTGGCCAGCCCATCTATAATTTGAGCCTAGTTCGGGGTTGAGACTGGACTTTATCAGCTTATAGTCAGCTAACTCCCTTGCCTCGGGAAGATAACATTATCGTTTTTTCTTCGTCCTGTCTTTACATTTGTACGTACTGGATGCACATTTCTGTATTGTGTAAAACCCTGATATACTGCACTTACCCAGATACTTGTAGTTTCTCAACTGCGGTTTATCAGTTATTACTTTGATAAAGGGAAAATAATGCAAAAACAGGCCAAATTGAATTTCTACATGGAGTTATGGGAATTGAATTGCCGCGTGGGCAAGAGGCCACCCTAACTGTTTATTGTTCCCCAACCATCGTTAATGGTGGTGCTGTTCATATTCAGTTTATATGAGGATTTGCACTGTTATTTATTGCTTGAAGTGTAAAAACCCTGACAGCGTTAGAAATTGGCACTAGTCCTGTAGTCCTTACCAAGCTGCCCAAAAGTAAAGGTATCCTAAGGACTAGTAGAAATTTGCCCATTTTAAGGGTTTTGCTATATGTTATCATTATAAGGAGTTAGTTTCTAACCCTGCCCGACAAGTTTATTTTATCTAATACAAGTAATAGCTGATGAGAAGACGGGAAGGGATCATGGGCAGATAACTCCTGATTTGTAACCAAGGGCAGGGGATGCCCAGGGAAGAAAGAGGCAAGTTATGAGTTTTGTGTTACAGGTTAGAAGTTCAGAAGGACATTGCAATGTGTTGTGCCAGAATAAGTATCATGAATATCCAAATTCATGTAATTTCATCTTCTATTAGCTATTAATCAGCTCCCTAAGAGTATTTCTCTCTTTCTTTGTTTCAGTGTAACAGTAAGAACATTGAAGGAAGAAACTATTGCATCCATTGCTACTCATCTCGGGAAGTTGGTGAGTTGTTTGCTATTTAATACTGACTGGATCCGTGGGGTTTGCGGGTTAAAATAGACCACCAGCTACCTATGCTGGTGGTAAGAGGCAACCAAATGGATCAGATGGTCAGGCTCAGTGACACTTGGTTGATAGCGTGTTCTCGTACCCCGACATCATGGATCGTTGCTCACAATATCAATCACTGGATGTCTGTTTCTGACTCAGAGATTTACAGGCCTCAATCTTGTAGCTGGAATATTGCTGAGTGAGGAGTTGAACAACAAACAAACAATACAACCTTGAGTATTTCAGCCTCTTTGATTATTGTGTTTGACAGCAACTGTTTTCAAAGTAGGTTTCATGTAACCAGACCAATTCATTGTTTTGCTTACGACCCACATGTCTCTATCTCAGCTGGAAACAACTGTCATGAGACTCCGATATCATGTATATAACATGTGCCCGACAAGTTTATTTTATCTAATACAAGTAATAGCTGATGAGAAGACGGGGTCATGGGCAGATAACTCCTGATTTGTAACCAAGGGCAGGGTATTACCCTACATTACATAAGGTTCCTGACAAGCTCGGGTAAACTTGGTAACCAGCTCATCTTCCAAACCTAGGTTTTTAAGCAGTTCTCTTCCAAACCTGGGGTTTAAAGAAGATCACTTCTAAACCTGCTTTGAGGTTTTACATTTCAGTTGTAATACCTAGGTTTTACAATTAACTTTTTGTTAACTTGCCTCTTGATGTGAACACAGTTGTGTTTGATGATTAGTTAAAAGTTGCTTGAAAATTCCATGACATTAATCGAACCTGCAACCTCACATATCGTGTTAGGTTTTGTAACCCACTGTTTTCCCACTGAGCATGCTGAGCTACTGAGGCAGGTGATGAGCAGTTGTTCAATCTATCATGTCATGACTCCAGCTAGTCCATGCTGCAGGTGGTTTTCTCTCGCACGCTTTGATCGAATTCCTTTTATGCCGCGACACACTGTATTGTTTCTCTATAAGGTATCTCAATGTTTTCCTATATATTCAGGTATTTAAAGCATTTAGACAGTTCATAAGTTGGATAAAACATGCCTCCAAGGTTTTGGTTGAAAATGTAACTCCTTCATCTCGGAAAAAGCCCTCGGGACTTCGGCCCTTCTGCTTTTCCCTCGCTCACGGTTTTACATTTTCAACCAAAACCTCAGAGGCGTGTTTTATCCTATACATAGACAATGGGGAACCCTAGCTGACTTTGTTTGGAAAATATGCTCTATTGATTATTGCCGATCTTTTGTTCAACAACAAAGATTTATGGGGCGCTTTATTTGCTGATCCACAGGGCCTAAATAGTCATAAATTACCAATCCAAGCCTAGTTTTACCAGTTAAAGAACCTGGTAACTACCAGTTAGGGCTTGATTTAGCTATATAAAACATGCACCAGTGCAACCTATTATTGAAAAATGCAACCTAATATTTATGTCTACATGAACCAAGTGCAAGTCCCCAAAATGCAAATTTGTGCTTGATTTACCCTTAAGCATGTTAAGTATCCACACAACGTCAATCTTTGAACAACCTCAGCATCTCTTAGTTTAGTTTACTCTACTAAGTCACTAACTGCTGTAGTGTTGGTTTCATGATGTATGACACAGTCATTAGAGATCTGTGGTTTTACTTATTTAGACTAGTTTATGCATCTCTGTTTTCAACTGTGATAAATTAATGGGACCATGGTTTAGTCTGGTGCAACAAGCCCACATGCACGTGGTAGAGGTTAAATCAAGTTCTGTAAATCGAGCCCCAAATCGCATAGATCAATGCATGGTATCCAACACTGGATTGTCTGGTCCAGACTTATATACAGACTGCCAACAACAAACAAACAAACAAACACTCACTCAATTTGGAAATGTTTTGTTGACATTTCCTGCAGACTTGAGACCCGAGCAGGTCTTGATAAATCTCTGAGTAAATACTCCAAGTAAACAATCAATATCCAATGTGTATAGTGTGTGAGTACATGGTCTACATGGTCAGTGGCTCCAAAAGGTATCCAGAACCCTGTCACGTTATATTCAATGGCGTATTATGCACAAGAAAATATGGTTTCTATATAATATTAATTTTATTTGACGAAGTAGACACAATTAATGGATAACAACTTCTTTAATACTCTAAAGGCGACATTTCGGTATAGATCCTTATATGTTTCAGTATAGATCCTTATACCATTGTCAAGCAAGGCATAAGGATCTGTATACGGAAACATCACCTTTACAGGATTAAAGAAGTTGTTATCCATAAATTGTGTCTACTTTGTCATCCGTCAACTTCTAAGTAATGCCTATCAAACGATATATATTTGTGTGTGTTCCAGCAGAGCTACAATCCAAGAGTCATGCAAAGGTAAGATTATGAAAAATATTACCCACAAAGGTAGAATGACAGTGTTTATAACTTTCGGATATTTTCACATGTGCATTTTAGCAATTCTCAAATGCTGATTGGTCAGTTAAAGCCATTTGACATCAGCGTGCTTCAAAATATGACTAAATATGATTGGCATGATCGGACTATCGCAAATATTGATAGTCCAATCAGAGAAAGTTTCATAATATCGTCATCTGGGTTCTGAAAACATGGCCTCTCCAATAGCTTGTCAAATTTGTGCTCAAGTTTCTTTCAACATTTAAGCGAAGATTAGTATTTTCTAGCTCTTTCCAAGTTATAAATCAAGTCACCCAAGCACTGTGCTTGTAAGTGGTATGATGGTGAGAACACTTATTCCCAGAACTGGAACACATTTGTATAGAAATGATTTACTGCTTGCTGCCTTTGTTGACACGAATATGTCTTTTCCATCTCAACCACTCAATCATGATGTCAATGATTGCCTTGGTTTGTCTGGGCACTACTTGTGATCTACGAGAGTGGTGCCAAGACCAAACGAAGAAAAGTGGGCTTGATGTGGCAAAGGTCAAAACTAGCTAACCATGCTAACAGATATATGCTTGTGAATACACTTGCCTCGGGAAGATGGGAGTATGATGGCTTGCTGTCAACCAAGTTAGTAAGCCTGGCCACCCAATCCATTTGGTCGCTTCTCACCACCAGCATAGGTTGCTGAGGACCTACTCCAACCTTGAATCCCAATGAAGCAGGGATAGACCTAGTTGGTCAAACCCAACTGGTCTGCAGCTAATAACCGACTAGTGGTTCATTATCTCATTTTAAATGTAATTTAGAATAACCTACTTGAAACTTGGAATTCTGGATTATCCATGTCTCATTGGTTCACACGACACTCAGCAGTCTTCCAGCTATATGATGGCGGTGCATGAATAATTTGATCCTGGGTAAGACAATCCAGTGATTGATATTATGAGCAACAATCCACGCCCTCAGAGTATGATGACACACTGTTAACCAACTTAGTAAGTCTGGCCACCCAATCCATCTGGTCGCCTCTCACCACCAGCATAGGTTGCTGGGGACCTACTCCAACCTGGAATCCCCATGGGGTAGAACAAGAGGCAGGGGTCAAATCCAACAAGTCTGCATCTCACTTTGGACCAGTAGTTCATGTAAACAGATAGAGTTAAGGAGAAATCAACTTTGGAGAAATCAACCCTGAAGACTTTATCTTGTACTAACCATGTGCTAACAGACTAAAGTTTATTACCTATAATATTGGTTAAACAAATGTGACTGGCTTCCACATGTCACATTTCACTTGCAAATATTTAATGTTATTACAATCTTTTGATTCATTCTTTCATTCCAAACTCCCACCCATCCATCCATCTGTCGTCTGTCCGTCCATCCATCCATCCATTCGTTCATTTGCTGTAGGTGGATGACGAGAAGGCCTGTACGCTCTACGTGTTTGACCTCCTGCTGACAACAACAACGTCTGATCTGTTCAAGTACTTCTCCCAGTGGGGAGGCATGATTGATGTCTACGTAAAGATAAGAGATGATGGAATGTGAGTACAACTTCTGATCAGGCCTTGCATGAAAGGTCACACTGAAATCTGCGTTGAGTGTAAAATAGTAAAAAAATACTGCTGGCCTGGAACTAGTAGGGCTGGGACGGGTAACTCTGGTACCCGGGTCGGGTGGGTAATGAGTAGGACCCACAGGACTACCCAGACCTGTGGTTAGTCAGGTGATATATAGTTTGTTGACATAAATTATCTTTTACTCTATGGTTACTCTACAAGTCACTAATGTTTGCATTTCTTTCTGACTATGCTCCCATTCCTTCTGACTTTTCATATGGTTGAATAAAGATCTAACTTAAGTCAACTTCAGTGTATGTATGACCAGATCGTTTAATACGTGTATCTAAATATGTTTTGCAAGTGCTGTGGTAAATAAAAATTCCCAATCAGACATTTTGTATCTCTTGAGACCTACAGTGGGTACCCGTGTAGGGTTGGGTAATAGGGGGGTGGGTACCTGGGTAGTAAATTTGAACTCGTCCCGACCCTACTAGCTAGTGAGACCTCAATCCCAGATTTACTTCCATTGACATCGATGGCCACAGCACACCATCTCCATACCCATGCCTGTCTGTGGTTTAACCTTGGATTTCCCCATACATCAGTGTTTCCATAACCGATCATTGTCAGTAATTCACCTGTCAAATAGGCCTTGCCTGTCTGTGGTTTAACAATGGCTTTTCCCACACATCAGTGTTTCTGTTACCGATCATTGTCAGTAATTTACCTGTCAAATAGGCCATGCCTGTCTGTGGTTTAACCTTGGATTTCCCCACACATCAGTGTTTCCATAACCGATCATTGTCAGTAATTCACCTGTCAAATAGGCCGTGCCTGTCTGTGGTTTAACCTTGGATTTCCCCACACATCAGTGTTTCCATAACCGATCATTGTCAGTAATTCACCTGTCAAATAGGCCTTGCCTGTCTGTGGTTTAACAATGGCTTTTCCCACACATCAGTGTTTCTGTTACCGATCATTGTCAGTAATTTACCTGTCAAATAGGCCTTGCCTGTCTGTGGTTTAACAATGGCTTTTCCCACACATCAGTGTTTCTGTTACCGATCATTGTCAGTAATTTACCTGTCAAATAGGCCGTGCCTGTCTGTGGTTTAACAATGGCTTTTCCCACACATCAGTGTTTCTGTTACCGATCATTGTCAGTAATTTACCTGTCAAATAGGCTGTGCCTGTCTGTGGTTTAACAATGGCTTTTCCCAAACATCAGTGTTTCTGTTACCGACCATTGTCAGTAATTTACCTGTCAAATAGGCCTTGCCTGTCTGTGGTTTAACCTTGGATTTCCCCACACATCAGTGTTTCCATAACCGATCATTGTCAGTAAATTACCTGTCAAATAGGCCTTGCCTGTCTGAGGTCTAACCATGGCTTTCCCCACACATCATTCAGTGTTTCTGTTACCGATCATTGTCAGTAATTTACCTGTCAAATAGGCCGTGCCTGTCTGTGGTTTAACAATGGCTTTTCCCACACATCAGTGTTTCTGTTACCGATCATTGTCAGTAATTTACCTGTCAAATAGGCCTTGCCTGTCTGTGGTCTAACCATGGCTTTCCCCACACATCATTCAGTGTTTCCGTTACCAGTAATTGTCAGTAATTTACCTGTCAGATAGGCCTTGCCTGTCTGTGGTTTAACAATGGCTTTTCCCACACATCAGTGTTTCCATAACCGATCATTGTCAGTAATTTACCTGTCAAATAGGCCTTGCCTGTCTGAGGTCTAACCATGGCTTTCCCCACACATCATTCAGTGTTTCCGTTACCAGTAATTGTCAGTAATTTACCTGTCAAATAGGCCTTGCCTGTCTGTGGTTTAACCATGGCTTTCCCCACACATCATTCAGTGTTTCCGTTACCAGTAATTGTCAGTAATTTACCTGTCAAATAGGCCTTGCCTGTCTGTGGTTTAACAATGGCTTTTCCCACACATCAGTGTTTCCATAACCGATCATTGTCAGTAATTTACCTGTCAAATAGGCCGTGCCTGTCTGTGGTTTAACCTTGGCTTTCCCCACACATCAGTGTTTCCATAACCGATCATTGTCAGTAAATTACCTGTCAAATAGGCCTTGCCTGTCTGAGGTCTAACCATGGCTTTCCCCACACATCATTCAGTGTTTCTGTTACCGATCATTGTCAGTAATTTACCTGTCAAATAGGCCTTGCCTGTCTGTGGTTTAACAATGGCTTTTCCCACACATCAGTGTTTCTGTTACCGATCATTGTCAGTAAATTACCTGTCAAATAGGCCTTGCCTGTCTGAGGTCTAACCATGGCTTTCCCCACACATCATTCAGTGTTTCCGTTACCAGTAATTGTCAGTAATTTACCTGTCAAATAGGCCTTGCCTGTCTGTGGTTTAACCTTGGATTTCCCCACACATCATTCAGTGTTTCCGTTACCAGTAATTGTCAGTAATTTACCTGTCAAATAGGCCTTGCCTGTCTGTGGTTTAACAATGGCTTTTCCCACACATCAGTGTTTCTGTTACCGATCATTGTCAGTAATTTACCTGTCAAATAGGCCATGCCTGTCTGTGGTCTAACCATGGCTTTCCCCACACATCATTCAGTGTTTCCGTTACCAGTAATTGTCAGTAATTTACCTGTCAAATAGGCCTTGCCTGTCTGTGGTTTAACAATGGCTTTTCCCACACATCAGTGTTTCTGTTACCGATCATTGTCAGTAATTTACCTGTCAAATAGGCCATGCCTGTCTGTGGTTTAACCTTGGCTTTCCCCACACATCAGTGTTTCCATAACCGATCATTGTCAGTAATAATTTACCTGTCAAATAGGCCTTGCCTGTTTGTGGTCTAACCATGGCTTTCCCCACACGTCAGTGTTTCTGTTACCAATAATTGTCAGTAATTTTCCTGTCAAATAGGCCGTGCCTGTTTGTGGTTTAACCATGGCTTTCCCCACACATCAGTGTTTCTGTTACCAATAATTGTCAGTAATTTTCCTGTCAGATAGGCCTTGCCTGTTTGTGGTTTAACCTTGGCTTATCTCAGACATCAGACACTGTTTTGAAATGGCACTTCACTATCTTTCCACATCCCTGATTTTGAGGGTCAGCAGATGAGTAACATAAGTTTTGTTTGTTTGTTTGTTGTTTAAAGCTGCACTCAGCAATTATTCCAGCTATTTGACGGCAGTAACATGAGAAAGTGAGAAATAAACACCTAACATGTTCTTTCAGTTCTTCAGGAAAAGGCCTTGTACAGTACAGGCGCCGAGAAGATGCTCAGGCTGCTCTAGCTGCTTGTCCGCACATCATCCAGAAGAAACAAATTCTTGTCTCGGTGAGCTCCAAAATTCTTCTACATATGTACATGCTCTCCAGTACCCCATGGTTGTGGGCCCTAGAGATTGTGGGATCAATTGGTCACAAGTACCCCATGCTTGTCCCCCTGGGGGTTGTGGGGTAGAATATGTCCAAAGTTCCCCATGCTTGTCCCCCTGGGGGTTGTGGGGTAGAATATGTCCAAAGTACCCCATGCTTGTCCCCCTGGGGGTTGTGGGGTAGAATATGTCCAAAGTACCCCATGCTTGTCCCCCTGGGGGTTGTGGGGTAGAATATGTCCAAAGTTCCCCATGCTTGTCCCCCTGGGGGTTGTGGGGTAGAATATGTCCAAAGTACCCCATGCTTGTCCCCCTGGGGGTTGTGGGGTAGAATATGTCCAAAGTACCCCATGCTTGTCCCCCTGGGGGTTGTGGGGTAGAATATGTCCAAAGTACCCCATGCTTGTCCCCCTGGGGGTTGTGGGGTAGAATATGTCCAAAGTTCCCCATGCTTGTCCCCCTGGGGGTTGTGGGGTAGAATATGTCCAAAGTACCCCATGCTTGTCCCCCTGGGGGTTGTGGGGTAGAATATGTCCAAAGTACCCCATGCTTGTCCCCCTGGGGGTTGTGGGGTAGAATATGTCCAAAGTTCCCCATGCTTGTCTCCCTGGGGGTTGTGGGGTAGAATATGTCCACAGTACCCCATGCTTGTCCCCCTGGGCGTTGTGGGGTAGAATATGTCCAAAGTACCCCATGCTCATCCCCCTGGGGGTTGTGGGGTAGAATATGTCCAAAGTACCCCATGCTTGTCCCCCTGGGGGTTGTGGGGTAGAATATGTCCAAAGTACCCATGCTTGTCATGCTTGTCCCCCTGGGGGTTGTGGGGTAGAATATGTCACCAGTATCCCATGCTTGTCGGCCCTAGGGATTGCGAGGCTCAATTGGTCCCCAGTACCCCATGCTTGTCTCCCTCTGGATTGATGGGATCAGTAGGTCCCCACTCCCCTTTGCTTGTCACCCCGGTACCACATGCTTGTCTCCCTGTTGACTGATGGGCTCAATGTGTCCCACTACCCCATATTTGACCATGGATCTGTCCTTGTGACAATAATTCGGTCCGGACTCGATTATTTACATGACATGTGGCCGGAATATGACTGAGTGCGGATTCAGACAACATATATATAATGAAAAGAATGCTGTTTTTGTTTTTAATCGAAACTGAAATTTCTAATGAATAAACCTTGTTTCTTTTTCCAGGACAAAAAGGGGGGAGGTAAGTTGTCCACAAATGGGAAGGTCATGCACAATTGCTGGATCATCATAATTAATCGTTCTGCGTACATTTTGTTTTTTAGATTAAGTTCAGTAAAACTTGTAAACCTTATAAAAAAAAAAACACAAGTATTTACTTCAGCACTTACATTGTTCCAAAAGGAAACTGGCCTTCTTCTTTCTTCCGTTTTTTACAAGTTCTATGAAGTAAGTTGTGAAGAAACCTTGTCAGAAAATAGACATGTCACATCTAAAATGCAGATAATATATTATATAATCTAATTTTCAAACTTATCCTATCTCACACTATGCATTTCTCTTCCTACTTTCGATCCTGAGTGGAAACATGCCTTGACAAAGTTTCCAGCTTCTTAAAAAACAATTCATCCGAACACACCCAGCATCACCATGGTCACGTCCCAGCAATCTAGTTCATGCATTCTTTTCTTGCCGGTTGACCCACTCTTTCTAATTGCCACCTTGTGGTGACATATTTATACACCAAGTTGATCACTGTTGATTCATTTGGGTATATTTTTGCCTTTTTCACCATTTTCCTTCTTCAACAACTAATCGTTATTCATCATGGATGAACTGTCCACACAACGTCCATTGTGTCTCACTTGCAGATGGGTATTTTCACCATCAGACCCCGCATGATGTCTGTTCCGAATGTCGTGGGTGTTGTGCGCAATGCGTTGATTTGCCAGATCAATCATATTTTTTTGCACAAATGTTGATGCTGTGAGCAAGATAGGCTCTCTGATTTTACTGGCAAAATAACAAAAAACACAAAAAATCTGGTAATAAAGCCAAGTAGATCAGCATCTTTGACGAACCCAGTGCTTCCTGTTTGATCAAGTCCAAAGAATCCACCTTCACCAGCTTAAACAAACCGGCCTTCAGCAAACCGGCCTTCAACAAACCCGCCTTCAGCAAACCCGCCTTCAGCAAACCCGCCTTCAACAAACTGGCCTTCAACAAACCCGCCTTCAGCAAACCAGCCTTTGGGCTCAATTGCTCTGGAAAATGCATTAGGCGAATATGGTTCCACCGAACCTGGTTTTTTTCTTAATCAACTGTGACCTCTCTCACTGTTCCGAAGACAACTAGAGATAGTATTGCTTCCTTGTCATCTTCATCTTCAGTTGCTGAGATTGTCAAATCTCCACTGGACGGGCATACCTAAGACTATAACATCAGTTGAAGACACTACTTGTTACTCCTTTTTCCCTCCTTTTACTCTCCTCATCGGCACAGAGACAACCCTCGTCGTTCGGCTTGTACCAGCAGATGCCCTTCCCCAAAGGTCACGCATGGTAATTTGTCCACAACACACCGCTCAGGTCCTCCACCTATACAGTGATCCTTTGCTACAACTCTACCTTTGGGGTCCAAATAATTGATGAGCGTTATGGACGATCAGCGGTTTAACCAAGGTGGAGTCGTATGTGGTAGATGACCAACAAAACAGTACATGCTCTGCCTACCTAACATGATCTATGCTGCACGTTTCAGAGTTTAAAAAACTATTTGAATAGTAGTTTATGATTCATAGTGTAAAAAATGATTTATCGAGTGTTACACGCTTTAAAAAAAACACATTCTATCCCTTCAGCGTATTCAGGTGAACGAACAGGTATGACAAACTTGGTCAATATGAATATGAAATTTGATATAAAACATCACTGGACATGATGATTTACCATTAAGTTAATTCAGTTAAAAATTACCCAATTATACAACTTCAAAGAATTTTGATGCAATGGTCGGAAGAATTTGTATCTGAAATTATTATTTTATCAGGAATAATATAATTCCACTATCATGTTAGTTTACTTGCAGCTCTCACTATAAATATTTAATATTATAAGAACCATAAGTTTAGCACTTTGGTACAGATGATTGCTATCGCAGGATATTTTTACCTATGGAACAATTTGACAAGTCACTGTTTGGACTTCCCGCCCTACATATTTTTTTATTTCGAAAACCTTATGTTGACATGTAATAGTCAAACTGCCTCAAATATGACTTCTTAACGAGACAAAGTATGGCATTTATGAGATATGTATCCATTCTCTTGCAACTAAAGTTTGTTTCAAGGCGTCAATAGTGGTAGCCTGCCTAATTGCTGTAAATAACAGTGAGTTGTGCGATCAACCAATCACTTCACACACGATTTTGCTAAAATTAATGTAAATGATATTGAAATTTTGATTATAATGAATAAAATATGTTATAAACGTAAGTCCAGATAAACAATGAATACCTTTTTATCACAAGATAGTATAATAATTGGATTAAATTGCCTACTTCAGTTTGGATTTGTTGACGTCGCTTTTAACAGTATTCCAGTTATATCGCGGCGTGTCAGCTTCATGTTGGAGGAAAACCTGAAGTGATGCAGGTCTCAGACGTTTACCACTTCGGTGAAACCCATGAGCACAGGTATGGTGCTGACAAATCTAGAAACATAATCGGGGTGAACCGGGATTCAAACCCACAATCATAGGTTTCTGGCGTGCCCAAGGGACGCAACTCTGCTCAGCGAATCGCGGCGCCCTAGACGACCGGGCCCCCCAGAAAGATGAGTTGGCTGGGGAAACCATGTATTCAGCGTGTGCAGGTCAATCGGCATGGAAAGTGTGCATGACCCAGATTATGGTAACCATGGTGATGCTGGAGTGTATTTGTGTGAATTGTTTTGAGAAGCTGGAAACCTTTAGTTTTAGCACGTTTCCACATAGGATTGAAAGAAGAATCAGAAATGCATAGAGTGAGATAGGATATGTATATGAATATGCAATTTTTTAATAAGATTTTCAAATACATCATTTCTGTTAAGTTAAATTTATAAAACTCCACATATACTTTGATTGGCATTCTAGACGTTGGTGAGAAAGTATGTTGTATGTTTGAATCACATGTTGCATGTTTGGGCATCATATGGGTAAAATTAAATACAAAAGTTTGAAAATAATTATTATTCGTGTATTGATTGATAAAAAAGGCAAATTCCGCATTTTTTCTTCAATTCTGCATTGTCTAATATTTTCTGCAAGTCTTTCTGTGGATGTAGAATCTTACCTATTTCTATTGTTTGTCTGCATGGGTGTCCTTTAACTTCTCTTGAAAAATATACCGGTATATGTTAGCAGTCAAATTTATGTAGAGATGATACTAGAGATGTGTATAGGCTTATACATACCGTGACTACATGGATTTAAGCCCCGGACTTAATTACAGATTTTGCCTTTTTGAGCCCAAAATGGTGATCCAGGGCTTTAAAGCGAGAACTGACAAATACATGACACAAATAATGAATATCTCAAGTTTAATAAAATAATTCTCACAAATGGAATAAGAGAGCAAATGATTTTCTTTTTCCATTTGAAAAATATGAGTTAAGTACACCTTCAACAATGTTCAAAATTGAAAAAAAGTAATAACAAACCAATATGTGTGTCTGTCATGTGTGTTTAAACTGTAACCGGAATATCACCTACATATCACCTACATGTTATGTAAATGTCATGTAAATGTCATGTAAATGTGGAAACCTCTAACAGCACTTAAAGTGCGACATTGTTGGGCTAAAAAATTAGGGGAAATAATTCTGAACAACGTGCAGTCCCGAAACTGTGTCCAACTGGAACACTTGTCAACTTTCTCTGTTTCAGATCCATGGAAAAGAAGAGACGATATGGACGTATGTATTTCTGTGAAACAAAGCTATTTGTTCTTTCTTATCATGCTTATCATTGGCCAGTGGGTGATTGACAGCTTGTTCTTAACTGCTGGGCTAGCAGATAACAAACTATAATAAAATGCACTGAAAGAAATTGAAAGCTCACTTATCATGCTTATGAGCATAAGGACAAGCATCCATCAGATATTGCTTGAAAGGGTTATGCAGTGACTGGCTGTACGACTGATTCCGTCAGAATCTTAATGAGATTGAAATACTGTGGCTTTAAAGGATACTCAAGGATCTTGCACAGGTGTGCCTCTTTCCTATGTTATACAATGTTATAAATCCCAATACACCCTTGAGGATTCCAGGTAAAAATGTCGGTCCCCTGCATTCTATGCTTGTCAAAAGAGTGACTAAATGGATTGGGTGGTCAGCAGCGAGGATTTGGTTTTAAAGCATGTCATTGTTTCCCAATTGTATGGAACGATGCTCATGATGTCAATCACTGGATTGTCTGATGGATGCTTGATTATTTACTTACTGTCATCATGTAGCTGAAATACTGCTGTGTGGCGTTACACAGATAAAAAACAGATCTCAATGACTTCACACCAAAAATAATTTTAAAAAAGTGTTTGTGAAGATTCAGTGTTTTGATCAGAGCTTTTTTGTTTTACAGAAGCACAAACTGTATGTGACCAACATACCCCTTGATGTGACTCAGGATGAACTGTTTCAGTACTTTTCCCGGTGGGGAACCATATTCTCCTGTGAAATAGTGGAAACAGAGCGGTAAGATGGCACATCATTCTGGATCAACTTCTTAAACAGCGAGATAGGGGTTAGAAACGATCTTCAGTGACCAATGCTTGTCGTAAGAGGCAACTTACAGGGTCAAGTGGTCAGGTTCGCTGACTTGGTTGCTGCATGTCCTTTTATCCCAATTGCTTAGATAAATGCTTAGGATGTCAATCACTGGATTGCCATGTCCAGACGTGATTATTTACAGACCGCCGTCATATTGCTGGTACATTGTTGAGTGGCATTAAACAACAAACAAACATCATGCAGGGCCACTGCCTCTGAGGTCTTGTAGTTAGAATGTCCTAGATGTTAAAAGATGGTGCTTATTGCATGTATTGTAACCCAGTCATGCGCTCAACAGAATATAAAGTAAGGACTAGGCAGCTCGGAGTCAGTATACGGTATCTGAAACTGGGTATCCATGTGAAACTGCAGAGTCTTGCACACACTCGAGCGCACGCACACAAACAAACAAAGAAAAACACACACAAAAACAAACACAAACACACACACACACACACACACACACACACACACACACACACACACACACACACACACAGAGTTGAATGTGAAGTTAAACTCATTGTCACATTACTTCATCTTTCAGTTCCAGAACCAATAAGATTGCCTTTGTTTCCTACACCAATGAAGGAGACGCTCTGAAATGTCTGCAGTCAAGTCACCATTTGCGAAACATGGAGCTGTCTGTACGTGTGTCGGTCAAGAGCAAATCTGTGAGTCATAGTCCTTTTTATTCAATTTGTCAACGCTATAAGCAGATTTGAATCACAGATTCATTTCATTATAATCCATGTCAGCATGTGACATTTTGAATCATTACCTTCATTTGGGACCTTGTGGGGATCTGGGTTAGAATTGGTCCTGAATATCTGTCTCGACATTCTTGGTGTCAGGCTTGGGTATCTGCTCCCCACCTTCCAACCATGGGATAAATGCATAGTGTGAGATAGGATAACCATCCCCGCATCACAGTTATGCAAGCCTCTTTACGCTCTATGAAACTGAATGAGATGGTAGGTTAGGTCAGATGATCAGGTAGTGTAAGATCATTATGCACTGGTTTACAGCACAGGGTCCATGCATTGCAACAGCTGGTGGTGGCCATGGTTGTTGAGGTGGGGTTGGTTGAGGTAAGGGGTTGGGATGAGTCCAAATTTACTACCCGGGTACCCACACCCCTATTACCCGACCCTACCCGGGTACCCGCTGTTGGTGTCAAGAGATAGGTCCACAATGTCCGATTAGGAATAGTTTGACAGTAGCCCTGGCAGAATGTATTTAAATACATGTATAAAACGATGTGGTCATGCATACCCTGAAGTTAACTGAAGTTTTACCTTTTTTCAAACATATATAAGTCAGAAGGAACGTGTTCATAGTCATGAAGAAATGCGAACATTAGAGACTAAAAATTGTCGTGTAACCATTTAGTTATATTGTGAAATTTTGTAATGAAACAATATATCACTCGACAAACCAAGGGTCCGGGTAGTCCTGTGGGTACCCGGGTCCTACTCAGTACCCACCCGACCCGAGTACCCGAGTTACCTGTCCCAGCCCTAGTTGAGGTGTTTTTGAAGCTTTGAAACAGGGTCAAGGATCGTTTCCACTCAAGGATCAGACTGATGGTGAAATGCATAGTGTGAAATAGGATAAGAAAATAGATAGATATGTTATTATATATTTTTTAACTGATCCTGCATTACTCCTTATTGCATTTACTGTTTTTGACAGAATCAGTGGGGTCATTGCATGACATGGGGGGACCCATTTTCAACAGATGTTTAGGAAATGAATGCCACCACTATTTATGGAAAAAAATGGTCAATGTGAAACAAGGTTAACCCATATTGTGAAAGCAGAGATGACAGACATTCACTCAGGACCCACTGTAAGACGTGTGTGTCATGATAGGGGATATGTGTAATTCTTATTGGTAATCACACGATAAAATCAGAATTCTCCTCAGGGTCAACTATCCGTTGTGCACATAATAGTATCTTGCTACCCCAAACCTCATGCACTAAGGTGGAAAAAGCTAGCTTCTGTCCAATATCTGACATCTAGATGCAGGAAATTGGGGAGATGGATGCAATTTACTTCCGACAGAGTTAGTGTTCTTTGACTTATTAACAATGATAAATATTGTTGGATATTTCATTCTTGTTCTGATATATATATTGCTTGTGACACGTCTTCTGTTTCTTGATTTCAGATGATTAAAGATGCAAAAGGTAGGATTTTAATAAAACACTGGAGGGGGACCCCATGTCTGTGAGAGGGGGCTACGATAAGGCCTTGTCACTTGTATAGAGTGTAGTGGATGTGATAAGATTAGGTTCCCAGCCCCAATGTCTGTAAGAAGGAACTACGGGCCTCATCACCTGTATAGATTGTACTGGACGTGATGAGATTAGGTTCCCAGTCCCAATGTCTGTAAGAAGGAACTACGGGCGTCATCACTTGTATTGATCGTACTGGACATGATGAGATTAGGTTCCCAGCCCCAATGTCTGTAAGAAGGAACTACGGGCGTCATCACTTGTATTGATTGTACTGGACGTGATGAGATTAGGTCCCCAGCCCCAATGTCTGTAAGAAGGAATTACGGGCGTCATCACTTGTATAGATTGTACTGGACTTGATGAGATTAAGTTCCCAGCCCCAATGTCTTTTAGAAGGAACTACGGGCCTCATCACTTGTATAGATTGTACTGGACATGATGAGATTAGGTTCCCTAATGTCTGTAACAAGGAACTAGGGGCCTCATCACTTGTATAGATTGTACTGGACATGATGAGATTAGGTTCCCAGCCCCAATGTCTGTAAGAAGGAATTACAGGCCTCATCACTTGTATTGATTGTACTGGACGTGATGAGATTAGGTTCCCAGCTCCAATGTCTGTAAGAAGAAACTACGGGCGTCATCACTTGTATTGATTGTACTGGACGTGATGAGATTAGGTTCCCAGCCCCAATGTCTGTAAGAAGGAACTACGGGCGTCATCACTTGTATTGATTGTACTGGACGTGATGAGATTAGGTCCCCAGCCCCAATGTCTGTAAGAAGGAACTACGGGCCTCATCACTTGTATAGATTGTACTGGACATGATGAGATTAGGTTCCCAGCCCCAGTGTCTGTAAGAAGGAATTACGGGCCTCATCACTTGTATAGATTGTACTGGACGTGATGAGATTAAGTTCCCAGCCCCAATGTCTTTTAGAAGGAACTACGGGCCTCATCACTTGTATAGATTGTACTGGACATGATGAGATTAGGTTCCCAGCCCCAATGTCTGTAACAAGGAACTAGGGGCCTCATCACTTGTATAGATTGTACTGGACATGATGAGATTAGGTTCCCAGCCCCAATGTCTGTAAGAAGGAATTACAGGCCTCATCACTTGTATTGATTGTACTGGACGTGATGAGATTAGGTTCCCAGCTCCAATGTCTGTAAGAAGAAACTACGGGCGTCATCACTTGTATTGATTGTACTGGACGTGATGAGATTAGCTTCCCAGCCCCAATGTCTGTAAGAAGGAACTAGGGGCCTCATCACTTGTATAGATTGTACTGGACATGATGAGATTAGGTTCCCAGCCCAAATGTCTGTAAGAAGGAACTACAGACTCATCACTTGTATAGATTGTACTGGACATTATGAGATTAGGGTCCCAGCCCCAGTGTCTGTAAGAAGGAATTACGGGCCTCATCACTTGTATAGATTGTACTGGACATGATGAGATTAGGGTCCCAGCCCCAGTGTCTGTAAGAAGGAATTACGGGCCTCATCACTTGTATAGATTGTACAGGACATGATGAGATTAGGTTCCCAGCCCCAATGTCTGTAAGAAGGAACTACAGACTCATCACCTGTATAGATTGTACTGGACGTGATGAGATTAGGTTCCCAGCCCCAATGTCTGTAAGAAGGAACTACGGGCCTCATCACTTGTATAGATTGTACTGGACGTGATGAGATTAGGGTCCCAGCCCCAGTGTCTGTAAGAAGGAATTACGGGCCTCATCACTTGTATAGATTGTACTGGACGTGATGAGATAAGGTCCCCAGCCCCAATGTCTGTAAGAAGGAACTACGGGCCTCATCACTTGTATAGATTGTACTGGACGTGATGAGATTAGGGTCCCAGCCCCAGTGTCTGTAAGAAGGAATTACGGGCCTCATCACTTGTATAGATTGTACTGGACGTGATGAGATAAGGTCCCCAGCCCCAATGTCTGTAAGAAGGAACTACGGGCCTCATCACCTGTATTGATTGTACTGGACGTGATGAGATTAGGTTCCCAGCCCCAATGTCTGTAAGAAGGAACTAGGGGCCTCATCACTTGTATAGATTGTACTGGACATGATGAGTTTAGGTTCCCAGCCCCAATGTCTGTAAGAAGGAACTACAGACTCATCACTTGTATAGATTGTACTGGACATTATGAGATTAGGTTCCCAGCCCCAATGTCTGTAAGGAGAAACTGCGGGCCTCATCACCTGTATAGATTGTACTGGACATAATGGGATTAGGTCCCCAGCCCCAATGTCTGTAAGAAGGAACTACGGGCGTCATCACTTGTATTGATCGTACTGGACATGATGAGATTAGGTTCCCAGCCCCAATGTCTGTAAGAAGGAACTACGGGCGTCATCACTTGTATTGATTGTACTGGACGTGATGAGATTAGGTCCCCAGCCCCAATGTCTGTAAGAAGGAATTACGGGCGTCATCACTTGTATAGATTGTACTGGACTTGATGAGATTAAGTTCCCAGCCCCAATGTCTTTTAGAAGGAACTACGGGCCTCATCACTTGTATAGATTGTACTGGACATGATGAGATTAGGTTCCCTAATGTCTGTAACAAGGAACTAGGGGCCTCATCACTTGTATAGATTGTACTGGACATGATGAGATTAGGTTCCCAGCCCCAATGTCTGTAAGAAGGAATTACAGGCCTCATCACTTGTATTGATTGTACTGGACGTGATGAGATTAGGTTCCCAGCTCCAATGTCTGTAAGAAGAAACTACGGGCGTCATCACTTGTATTGATTGTACTGGACGTGATGAGATTAGGTTCCCAGCCCCAATGTCTGTAAGAAGGAACTACGGGCGTCATCACTTGTATTGATTGTACTGGACGTGATGAGATTAGGTCCCCAGCCCCAATGTCTGTAAGAAGGAACTACGGGCCTCATCACTTGTATAGATTGTACTGGACATGATGAGATTAGGTTCCCAGCCCCAGTGTCTGTAAGAAGGAATTACGGGCCTCATCACTTGTATAGATTGTACTGGACGTGATGAGATTAAGTTCCCAGCCCCAATGTCTTTTAGAAGGAACTACGGGCCTCATCACTTGTATAGATTGTACTGGACATGATGAGATTAGGTTCCCAGCCCCAATGTCTGTAACAAGGAACTAGGGGCCTCATCACTTGTATAGATTGTACTGGACATGATGAGATTAGGTTCCCAGCCCCAATGTCTGTAAGAAGGAATTACAGGCCTCATCACTTGTATTGATTGTACTGGACGTGATGAGATTAGGTTCCCAGCTCCAATGTCTGTAAGAAGAAACTACGGGCGTCATCACTTGTATTGATTGTACTGGACGTGATGAGATTAGCTTCCCAGCCCCAATGTCTGTAAGAAGGAACTAGGGGCCTCATCACTTGTATAGATTGTACTGGACATGATGAGATTAGGTTCCCAGCCCAAATGTCTGTAAGAAGGAACTACAGACTCATCACTTGTATAGATTGTACTGGACATTATGAGATTAGGGTCCCAGCCCCAGTGTCTGTAAGAAGGAATTACGGGCCTCATCACTTGTATAGATTGTACTGGACATGATGAGATTAGGGTCCCAGCCCCAGTGTCTGTAAGAAGGAATTACGGGCCTCATCACTTGTATAGATTGTACAGGACATGATGAGATTAGGTTCCCAGCCCCAATGTCTGTAAGAAGGAACTACAGACTCATCACCTGTATAGATTGTACTGGACGTGATGAGATTAGGTTCCCAGCCCCAATGTCTGTAAGAAGGAACTACGGGCCTCATCACTTGTATAGATTGTACTGGACGTGATGAGATTAGGGTCCCAGCCCCAGTGTCTGTAAGAAGGAATTACGGGCCTCATCACTTGTATAGATTGTACTGGACGTGATGAGATAAGGTCCCCAGCCCCAATGTCTGTAAGAAGGAACTACGGGCCTCATCACTTGTATAGATTGTACTGGACGTGATGAGATTAGGGTCCCAGCCCCAGTGTCTGTAAGAAGGAATTACGGGCCTCATCACTTGTATAGATTGTACTGGACGTGATGAGATAAGGTCCCCAGCCCCAATGTCTGTAAGAAGGAACTACGGGCCTCATCACCTGTATTGATTGTACTGGACGTGATGAGATTAGGTTCCCAGCCCCAATGTCTGTAAGAAGGAACTAGGGGCCTCATCACTTGTATAGATTGTACTGGACATGATGAGTTTAGGTTCCCAGCCCCAATGTCTGTAAGAAGGAACTACAGACTCATCACTTGTATAGATTGTACTGGACATTATGAGATTAGGTTCCCAGCCCCAATGTCTGTAAGGAGAAACTGCGGGCCTCATCACCTGTATAGATTGTACTGGACATAATGGGATTAGGTCCCCAGCCCCAATGTCTGTAAGAAGGAACTACGGGCGTCATCACTTGTATAGATTGTACTGGACATTATGAGATTAGATTCCCAGCCCCAATGTCTGTAAGGAGAAACTGCGGGCCTCATCACCTGTATAGATTGTACTGGACATGATGAGATTAGGTTCCCAGCCCCAATGTCTGTAAGAAGGAACTACGGGCCTCATCACCTGTATTGATTGTACTGGACGTGATGAAATTAGGTCCCCAGCCCCAGTGTCTGTAAGAAGGAACTAGGGGCCTCATCACTTGTATAGATTGTACTGGACATGATGAGATTAGGTTCACAGCCCCAGTGTCTGTAAGAAGGAACTACGGGCTTCATCACCTGTATAGATTGTACTGGACATGATGAGATTAGGTTCCCTGCCCCAATGTCTGTAAGAAGGAACTACGGGCCTCATCACTTGTATTGATTGTACTGGACGTGATGAGATTAGGTTCCCAGCCCTAATGTCTGTAAGAAGGAACAATGGCCTAATCCCTTGAAACATCCCTCTGTAGACAATCTGGTCCTTTAGTTTCCTCACTCCACAGAATTGGAATATATGTTAATAATAAACGCCAAGTTTTTTTTTATTAGTTCCAGATCGAAGGAAAACAGCAGCTGCTTTAGCATCTTTGGAGGTTTGTATGTTCTCAGTTCTCTCTTTAAACATGATCAAACATCTATCTGTCAGGTGGTGCACCTGCTCAATCATGTCTGTCCAGCTATGAACATGCTCAATACACACATCACCTTGTTTATATACTGGTTTCTGTCTGGTGGTGCACCAGCTCAATACACACATCACCTTGGTTTGATACTGGTATCTATGTTGTGGTGCACCAGCTCAATACACACATCACCTTGGTTTGATACTGGCATCTATGTGGTGGTGCACCAGCTCAATACACACATCATCTTGTTTATATACTGGTTTCTGTCTGGTGGTGCACCAGCTCAATACACACATCACCTTGGTTTGATACTGGTATCAGTGTAGTGGTGCACCAGCTCAATACACACATCACCTTGGTTATATACTGGTATCTATGTGGTGGTGCACCAGCTCAATACACACATCACCTTGGTTTGATACTGGTATCTATGTGGTGGTGCACCAGCTCAATACACACATCACCTTGGTTATATACTGGTATCTGTGTGGTGGTGCACCAGCTCAATACACACATCACCTTGGTTATATACTGGTATCTATGTAATGGTGCACCAGCTCAATACACACGTCACCTTGGTTATATACTGGTATCTATGTGGTGGTGCACCAGCTCAATACACACATCACCTTGGTTATATACTGGTATCTATGTGGTGGTGCACCAGCTCAATACACACATCACCTTGGTTATATACTGGTATCTATGTGGTGGTGCACCAGCTCAATACACACATCACCTTGGTGATATACTGGTATCTGTGTGGTGGTGCACCAGCTCAATACACACATCACCTTGGTTATATACTGGTATCTGTGTAGTGGTGCACCAGCTCAATACACACATCACCTTGGTTTGATAGTAGTATCTATGTAATGGTGCACCAGCTCAATACACACATCACCTTGGTTATATACTGGTATCTATGTGGTGGTGCACCAGCTCAATACACACATCACCTTGGTGTGATACTGGTATCTGTGTAGTGTACCAGCTCAATACACACATCACCTTGGTTTGAAGGTCAGCAGTAGAAACTAACATCTTTAGTCCACTAGTCTTTATAAGGATAACGTATAGCAAAACCCTTAAAAATGGCAAATTTCTATTTGTCCTTATGATACCTTTAGTATTGGGCAGTTTGGCATGGACTACAGGACAAGTGCTAATCTCTAACGCTGGTATCTGTGTAGTGGTGCACCAGCTCAGTTCAATGTATGAAGCACATTTCTGATGTCCTCTGCCAAGATATTGCTGGAATATTGCTAAAAGCAGCGTAAAACCAAACTCACTCACTCCAACACCTAACAGACCACTCATCACATACTGCACCTGTGCTATTGACTCTCTACCTTGTTGGTAACATTCCCACAGCTAACAGACCACTATTCACTTACTGCACCTGCGCTGTTGACTCTCTACCTTGTTGATAACATTCCCACAACTAACAGACCACTATTCACTTACTGCTGCTATGCTATTGACTCTCTACCTTGTTGATAACATTCCCACAGCTAACAGACCACTATTCACTTACTGCACCTGTGCTATTGACTCTCTACCTTGTTGATAACATTCGCACAGCTAACAGACCACTATTCACTTACTGCACCTGTGCTATTGACTCTCTACCTTGTTGATAACATTCCCACAACTAACAGACCACTATTCACTTACTGCACCTGCGCTGTTGACTCTCTACCTTGTTGATAATATTCCCACAGCTAACAGACCACTATTCACTTACTGCTCCTGTGCTATTGACTCTCTACCTTGTTGATAACATTCCCACAGCTAACAAACCACTATTCACTTACTGCACCTGTGCTATTGTCTCTCTACCTTGTTGACAACATTCCCACAACTAACAGACCACTATTCACTTACTGCTGCTGTGCTATTGACTCTCTACCTTGTTGATAACATCCCCACAGCTAACAAACCACTATTCACTTACTGCACCTGTGCTATTGTCTCTCTACCTTGTTGACAACATTCCCACAACTAACAGACCACTATTCACTTACTGCTGCTGTGCTATTGACTCTCTACCTTGTTGATAACATCACCACAGCTAACAAACCACTATTCACTTACTGCACCTGCGCTGTTGACTCTCTACCTTGTTGACAAAATTCCAACAACTAACAAACCACTATTCACTTACTGCTGCTGTGCTATTGACTCTCTACCTTGTTGATAACATCCCCACAGCTAACAAACCACTATTCACTCACTGCTGCTGTGCTGTTGACTCTCTACCTTGTTGATAACATCCCCACAGCTAACAAACCACTATTCACTCACTGCTGCTGTGCTATTGACTCTCTACCTTGTTGATAACATTCCCACAACTAACAGACCACTATTCACTTACTGCTGCTGTGCTATTGACTCTCTACCTTGTTGATAACATCCCCACAGCTAACAAACCACTATTCACTCACTGCTGCTGTGCTGTTGACTCTCTACCTTGTTGATAACATTCCCACAACTAACAGACCACTTTTCACTCACTGCTGCTGTGCTGTTGACTCTCTACCTTGTTGATAACAGTCCCAAATTAAACAGACCAGGTGCATGTTTACACGAAAACCAAGTTGCACCGAACACAAACAGGTTGTACCCTGTTCCCATAAATTTATCAACGTTGAAACATAGGCCGGTCTGCTGCCAGTATTATACATTTACCGTATTCGATGTAATAATCGCCCTGGGTGCTCTCAAAATTAGAAATAGGGGGCTCTTATCAGAGTGAGTGGGTGAGTTAGGTTTAAGGCCGCTTTTAACAGTATTCAAGTTACATCACGGCATGGAAAGCCCGAAGTGATGCAGGTCTCAGACGTTTACCACTTCGGTGAACCCACGAGCACGGGTATGGTGCTGACAAACCTAGAAACATAATCAGGGCGAACCGGGATTCGAACCCACAATCATAGGTTTCTGGCGTGCCCAAGGGACGCAACTCTGCAAAGCGAAATTGCGGTGCCTTAGACGACTGGGCCACCCGTGCCCCCTGGCTCTTATTAGAATATAATTTTAGTGAGAGAAAAACAGAATTGAAAGATCGTAAATTTCGTGGTTTATGCTGACAGCCCGAAATGATACACGACAGTTATATTTTCCAGAATTTAATTGCCCATAATTAAGGGTGCATATATCACACGAGTGCGTATTATACACAAATAAATAAGTCTTGTGTACATTGATCAATCCAAGGGGGTGCTAATTGGGATTGTTCAGTAGCCAATATATTAGCAAATATCGCCGTGGGCGCTTATTAGAGCGGGGCGCTTATTACGTCGAATAAGGTATAATGCATAACTGTAAAACATAATAGGAACATGAGCACCTAATCTTGAAGTACCCGCAGTTTGATGACATTAAGGCTAAGTAAGAATGACAAATTACATGTAACACAGGGGTGCAGAAAGTTGGTGATGTGGGTGTGATTACTCCTGATGTAGTATTGTTTGAAAAATTAACATTGAATTGAATTATTAACTATTGTTTGATATTTCGCTCTTGATCATATATATGTTGCTTGAAAGGGTTATTCAATGACTGGCTGTACAACTGATTCTGTCAGAATGTTAATGAGATTGAAATGCTTAGGCTTTAAAGGATACTCAAGGAACTTGCTCATGATGTGTACAGCCTTTTTGGCATGATCCTTTGCACAGTATGGCATCAATATGGTTGTAAGCATTACTTCATGATGTACAGTGTTGTAAATCTCAATGCACCCTTGAGGATTCCAGATAAAAATATAGGTCCCCTGCATTCTATGCTTGTCAAAAGAGTGACTTAATGGATTGGGTGGTCAGGAGCGAGGACTTGGTTTGATAGCATGCCATTGTTTCCCAATTGCATGGAACGATGCTCATGATGTCAATCACTGGATTGTCTGATGGATGCTTGATTATTTACTTACTGTCATCATGTAGCTGAAATACTGCTTTGTGTGGCGTTAAACAGAAAACAATAGTGTTTGTCAAGATTCAGTGTTTTTATCACCTTTATTGTTTTACAGAGCCACAAGCTGTTAGCGACCAACGTCCCTCCTGACGTGACTGAAGACGAACTGTTTCAGTACTTTTCCATGTGGGGAAAATTATTCTCCTGCGAAATAATAAAAAACAAAGAGCGGTAAGATGGCACATCATTCCGGATTATCTTCATCCACAGCGAGATCTTGGTTAGAAACGATCTTCCGTGACCAATGCTTGTTGTAAGGGGCAACTTACAAGATTGGTTTGTCAGGCTAGCTGACTTAGTTGCAGCATGCCATTGTATCCCTATTGCGTAGATCAATGAGTAGGATTCAATCAATGGATTGCCATATCCAGACTTGATTATTTACACACTACCATCACATTGCTGGTATATTGTTGAGTGGCATTTAACAAACAAATGAACATCATCACTATCACTATATGATTTCAGTAATCTTGAATGTGAAGTTAAGCCCATTTTCACATGACCTCATCTCTCAGTTCCAGAATCAGAAACAAAAACAGTAAGCTTGCCTTTATTACCTACACCAAGGAAGAAGATGCTCTGAAATGTCTGCAGTCACGCCACAATTTGCGAGACAGGGAACTGTTTGTACATGTGTCGAGCAAGAGCAAGTCTGTGAGTCATATTGTTTTTTTCATCAATATTCGTCAGATTTTAATCCCAGGTTCATTTGATTATAATCAATGTCAGCACTAAAACTGGTAAACATCAGATGTGACATTTTGAATCTTTACCTTTGGGGATCTGGGTTAGAATTGGTGGTTGTAAGAGGCCACCAAGTGGATCGGGTAGTCAGGCTCTGTTACTTGCTTAATGTATGTCATCATATGCACCTTGGTGCTCTCATATAGCTGGTATATTGCTCAGTGCTGCTTTAAACAAAGAATAAAAAGCAAAAAAAGCAAAAAAGCATTCATTTTGAGGTGGTTCACAATATGCAATGCATGGACCTTGTGCTGCCTGATCATATTGCCAAGAACACTTAAGCTTGTTACTTGAGTTCTATAGTCCTTAGCAATGACAACAGAAAGAGGAAAGTTTGTGGCAGTTACAAATTGACTTTCTTAATGTATGCCCCCCAAACAAGATGTAGCAACTGTCATGGCTTTGATCATGGTCTAAAATAAGGAAAGATCTCTCTGAAGATGACATTATCGTCTTTTGAAGCATGCAGAATGTGAGAGTGATAGAGGGGCTTAAATTATGCGTAAGGAGAACATGTTGTAGGTGCCAAAAAGCCAAAAAGAAGTACTTTAAGAGCCATGCGGCCAGGTTTGAAGAAGGTACCTTCGAAAGAAACTTTGTTGAACAATGCCTTGGTCTCCCTAGATGACTGTTTTGATTCCTTTATGACAGTTGATCTCAATGTTCACAGAGTCTGTTACGATTGGTAGTAGATTGGTATGATTTATGTTCAATGAGAGGGATTGGGATGGTCAGAAAGGGAATGTCATCATGATCGTCAAATGCAACATACACCCTGTGAACATCTTTTCACCACAACGAAGGAGGCGCTTTCATAGGGGATCCCCTTCACCGAAGCTTTTTTCAGGGAAGCGGGAAACCACTACTGCAAGTCGGCAACGTGGAGCAGATGGTGGTGTTAACATGCCACATATTGACACAGAACCTTTGTTGAGACACCACCAAACATTCGGAAGAACTCGATTGCATTTCTACGATAGATCATAAAAACGGGAAAGTACATGGTCAGTCTAGACCTACTGGATGCGTGCCTTCATGTGCGTATCCATCTGGATCATCGAAAGTATCTTTGGTTCATCTTCCAAGGGATACGTTATCAATGGTGGGTGCTCCCATTTGGCATTTCCATGGCGCCATTGGTTTTCACCCACACCACAATACCTATCACTCAGTTGCCCCACTGCCATTGGCTCATCATTGAAGAAATGGGACATGATCCCCACACATGGAGTCCAGATCATCGGAGCATTGTTCATCACCCAGGCAGGTTAAAGACACAGTCACAAGTACCATGGGCACTGAAACAATATCGGACACTTTTTCAGTGGCAAGAGATCATCATGCATGATCATAGGTCTCTTTACCTCTGCTCAGGCTCTGATGCAAACGTTTCTGAGACAATTTCTACAGAAAGACAACAGCAAAGCCAAGATTCAACTCCCCTCGTCATTGCATCCCCTCACCTGCAGTGGTGGCTTCTAGTGTTGAGCCTGTGAAAGATTCGCTTTAATGTCGTTCACACACAAAAACGACTGGAACAACCATCCCCAACTGTGTGGAATGAATCTGCCATCAATACGGAAACCCAGAAATAGACCTGTTCAAAGCCATTGCAATACTCAACTACCAAGATTTGTCTCTCCAATACCAGACTCCAGAGCATGGGATCATAATGCTCTAGCCATCACTTGGGGTGGTCTGAAAGCTTATGCCTACCCACTAATAGGACTTCTACCTCAGGTACTTCAGGAGATCTCCGACACCAAGAGACTTCAACTGATTTTCCTGGTGCCCTTCTGGACGGTTTACCACACTCATAAATATAGCAGATCGAAGACATCATCTTCTACTGTAAAGGGACAATCAACTTCTTCAGCCACATTCAAAGCAACCTCATCCATCAACCACATGTTCCATGTCTGCATTTGGCACATCTGCAGAAATCCTTGCCAAAGAATTTTAGTAAAGAGTGGCATGATCAATCACAGCTGCATATTCATTCTGTGAATGAGGCTGTCTACAATAATAAGTGAAATGTGTTCAAAGCATATTGCATGATTAGAGAAGACATTCGTTTCCCCACTACATCATCACCACAGCAGACAGCTGAATATCTTCAGTACTTAAAAAGTTAAATGAAGCTGAGAGGTTCAACACTTTCACCTTATTTAGTGGTGATTGATTCTGCTGCAGTTTTAGGCTTCAGTAGGGGTGGGGGTGATGATCACTTGACAGTCAGTGATATGGAAGTGGGTTGTGGTATCAATGCATCTATCCTTCATCAAATTAAATATCATACATAATATGACACAGTGATTTTTAAGTTGCCAAAATGTTGGGGCACTTATAGGCCTGACTGCAACAGAATCATTTGGGTCATTGTGTGAAATGGGCAACCAATTTTTAACAAAAGTGTAGGAAATGAATGCCACCAATTTTCATTTTAAATAAATGTTCAATGTGAGACAATGCTTACCCATATTGTGAAAGCAGAGATGACTGACATGCACTGATGACCTACTGAAAGACATGTGCGTGTCATTATTATGCTCCTCTCTAGAATAAATATGCTGCACCAGCCATATTTCTTGTGTTATAGAAATATAAAGCAACAAGGGTTGAAATGACGTCTCTAGAATAATCATATGATATTGAAGTTTTCCCCTTAATCATGCTTATGATGTGGTATGTTAAAGAGTCATTATTATTTACTGATAGGAGGATAACTTACTCTCTCCCTTCCTACAGCTAACAGACCACTATTCACAAACTGCTACTATTCTATTGACTCTCTACCTTGTTGTTGGTAACATTCCCACAGTTAACAGACACTGCTACTATTCTATTGACTCGCTACCTTGTTGGTAACATTCCCACAGTTAACAGACACTGCTACTATTCTATTGACTCTCTACCTTGTTGGTAACATTCCAACAACTAATATACCACTATACACTTACTGCTGCTGTGCTATTGACTCTCTACCTTGTTGGTAACATCACCACAGCTTACAGACCACTATTCACTTACTGCTGCTGTGCTATTGACTCTCTACCTTGTTGGTAACATCACCACAACTAACAGACCACTATTCACTTACTGCTGCTGTGCTATTGACTCTCTACCTTGTTGGTAACATCACCACAACTAACAGACCACTATTCACTTACTGCTGCTGTGCTATTGACTCTCTACCTTGTTGGTAACATCACCACAGCTAACAGACCACTATTCACATACTGCTGCTGTGCTATTGACTCTCTACCTTGTTGGTAACATCCCCACAACTAACAAACCACTATTCACTTACTGCACCTGTGCTATTGACTCTCTACCTTGTTGGTAACATCCACACAACTAATATACCACTATACACTTACTGCTGCTGTGCTATTGACTCTCGACCTTGTTGGTAACATTCCCACAGCTAACAGACCACTATTCACTTACTGCCATAGCTGGTTGTTATGGTGGGGGATATTGATAATTCTTATGAATACAAAACCTCTTTTATGACATTGCCAGAAATGCTGGATTTCAGCTGTCATCACACTATTAAATATTCAGATTTTTGAACAGAATTCCTCTTCAGTGTCAACTATCCATGATACGTTGTGCAAGTAATAGTGTCTTGCTTCCAACACCTCATGCACTGAGGCTGAATAAAAACTGATTTCTTACCAATGTCACTGTAGGGTGTGAATACTCTTGATGTTTTAAAGGTAGTATTCTTTGAATTATTAAAAATAATAACTATTGTTTGATATTTCACACAGTCTCATTATCATGATTAAAATCAGATCTTTGTAAAATCTGATTTTAATGAGATTGAAATTTGACACTTGTTCAGATATAATTACATTAAGTAATACGTTACCACTGTTATACCGAGGCTGTTGTCTCCCACAACTGCTGCTATAGCGAAATCTACCACAGATATCTCAATTACCTCATGCAGCACGTGCGTAGCCACCTAGCTGCCATGTGACACCCTTCACTCTTGTCTCCTTCGTCTGCTTAGCAAGACGTGTTTTCTCCTGCTGAAGCGTTCCTTGAAGATTTGGTGATATTTATTATAGTTTATTCTCTAATAAACTGTGCTTTTATGGGGCGTTGCGGTAGCTACGCTTGGTTATAATTTTCCCGCCCTTTTTTCTATATACTTGCGGGGTTCGCGTATGCACGTTGTGTTTTACGTTTCCCCTGTTCTTGTATGTTTTGGGGGTTAACAGAACTTATTTCTTTAATAAAAGTTATATGTGTATGTTATATATTCACATTGCTCGTTTATTTTCTTGTGAAAATGCTCGTTTGTGAATCGTTGTGGTGCGTGCGTTGTAACCATGTTTTGTTCTTTGTTTATAGCAAACAATCAATGTCTGACATGGATATGTCCCCAGTATCCACCCCCTCTACCCCTGCTCCTCGGAGTTGTGGGGTGTGCAGAAAGTTTTTGTCATCCCGGGATCCCCACGATCGTTGCCCGCGGTGCAGGGTTCCTTGCGGGGACACCCGGTGTACCCTGTGTGAAGGTCTGGGGCCTGCGGAGTTTGAGCGGTACCGGCTGTACGTACAGTCCGTCTCCACCCCGGTGGTGGCCGGTTCGTCCGGTGGGGGTCCCCGTGCGGGTACCACCTCCTCGGCTGCGGCGGATCCCCTTGCGGCCCTCGGGCTGTCTGGGGATTCCGTCGCCGCATTATTGTCGAAACTTGTGGACTCCAAGCTGGCGGCCTTATCGCAAGATAGGCCGCTGGCTGTTCCGTCCCCGGCCTCTTCGGTGGCCGCGGGTTCGGACGCGGGGTCCACCGGTACGGCGGCGGCTGCCGTGGTTACCGGTCCTTCCCCCGAACCGTTGCTTCCGCTATCGGTTAAGGACCGCGTTGCCATGGTGTATGACCTCTGCGAGGACATGCCAAAGCCACTGCCGATACCGCGGGGAATCCACGGTTCCGTGGGTTCCTCCGAGGTATACGACGAGACGTCCGACAAGGCTTTCCCGGCATCAACCTTGCTGCGCGGGATTAAGCCTTCTTTGGAGAAGGCCTTCACGGCTGCCTCCGGTCGGGGTCTCCCGTTACCTCCCCCGTCGTGGAGAAAAGGGTCTTTCCCAGTACATGACCTTGCCTTTCCCGAGGCTGGTCCTTCTGCGGAAGCCCATGTGGAGCGTTTGGGGGTCCGTGCCCCACCGGTTGCCACGGTACCACAAGGTACCTTGCAACAGCTGGACACCCTCGCTCGACACTCCATGCTGGCAATGTCTCACGGAGACACATACCTGGCTGCAGCGGCCAGTCTGGTCGAAGGTTCTCCCACGGACCGAGACCAGCGCATTTACAACTGCTTGCTCGGTTTGAATGCTTCCCTGGAGTACGTTGCCGGGGCTTCGGCCTTTGTTTCCGGCACGTGCCATTTTCTTCGGCGCCAGTCGTATCTGGTTGCTTCAGGGTTGGACGCTGCTAATCAGGAGGTGCTCCTTTCGCAGCCTTGGTCTGCTCGGACCCTGTTTAATAACAAGATCCCTGGGGTTCTGAAGGAACAACAGGCCGCTGTGTCTGCCGAGGCCTCTCGGCTCACACTGGATCTTGTGGGGTCCTTGCATAGGCGCCTGGGTGCCGCTCCGAAGCGGAGCGCGCCCCAGGATGCTGCGTCCGGCAGGCCTAAGGGGTCGGGTCCTTCTTCCTCCGGGAAGAAGCCCCGCTCTGAGGGCTCCGGTAAGGGTTCTCAGCAGCCCTTTCGCGGGAAGAAGGGGAACTGGGGGAAGCCCAAGTCGTCTAAGGACGGCAAGGGCCCCTCCAGGTGACTCTCATTGGAGGGGTTCGTATGCCGACAGCGCCAACTTCGGTTGGCCCGTAGGCGAACCCGAGTCACTTGGCCCTGGACAGTTGCGCCTGCCGCAGCCCGTCCGGCCCCCCTCTCTTTCCCCAGTGGGAGCCAGACTCCAGACTTACTGGGAGAATTGGGAACAAGTGTTCGACGACCCGTGGGTGGTCAACACGATTCGGTACGGCTATCGGCTCGATCTCAAAGCGAATCCGCCGCTCACCGTTGCCCCGTCGGCAGGTTTCTATTCGGAAACCGATCTTCCCTTCCTCGCCGATGCCATCGGCAGGTTGGTGGAGAAGAGGGCAGTTCGGGAGTTAGCTCTACCAGAAATAACACCGGGGTTTTACTCCAGGATATTTCTCGTTCCCAAGAAGGACAGTGCCGAACTCAGAATGATTCACAACTTGAAATCGTTCAACGAGTTCTACCTGCGCAAACCGCCCAAGTTCAGAATGTTGAGCTTGACGGACCTGAAAGCACTGATCATGCAGGCCGACTGGCTAGCTTCGATCGACCTGAAGGATGCTTATCTGCATGTTCCGATTCACTCGGATCATCACAAGTATCTCAGGTTTGTCTTTCAAGGCAGGCACTACGAGTGGGTTGTACTCCCCTTCGGTCTTTCGTCCGCTCCCTGGCTGTTCACCCGGTTAACCACCCCCATAGTGGGGTTCCTCCACCGGAGGGGTGTCCGGTACTTCGCGTACCTGGACGACTCGCTAGTAGCAAATCGAATGACGGACACCCTGTCACGCCATCTCGTTTTCGCACGTCGGCTCTTGGAGCAATTGGGGTTGATTGTCAATCTCCCCAAGAGCGAGTTAACCTCTTCTCAGAACTTGCAGTTCATCGGAGGTCGGTTCAACACGGTGTCCCATCGCCTCTTTGTCCCCCCAGACCGGTGGCACAAAATTCAGGCGATGATTGCCAAAGTCTTAGCGGTGCAACAGACTGTTCACTTTTGGGAACAGCTGTTAGGGCTACTTGTATCAGCCCAGGACTGCACCGAACGGGGTCGTCTCCAACTCCGCCCGCTGCAACGGTTTTTAATCCAGTTGTTAGCAACGGAGGTGAACAGTGCGACCGTCGCCCTCCCGGATCGGCTCCGACCGCATCTGGAGTGGTGGACGCTCCCTTACAATGTCTTATCAGGAGTCTCTATGCGGCCCTACCGGGCCACGTTGAACCTGTATACAGACGCCTCTCTAGTGGGCTGGGGCGCCCATCTAGAGGGGGAGGTGAGCTCGGGGCTGTGGTGCGTAGAGGAACTAGGTCTTCACATCAATTGTCTCAAGTTCAAGGCAGTGATCAACGCAGTCAATCACTGGAAGCATCGTCTCGTCGACGCCCGGCTCATGCTGGCGACCGACAACACGACGGTAGTGTCCTATGTGAACAAACTGGGGGGAACCCACAGTCACTCGCTACTCGATCTCCCGTTCGAGTTTTACGCTCTGGTGGACAGTGTCCCGTGCCAGATACGCGCCCGTCACATCCCAGGTGTGCAGAACGTACTGGCCGATGCTCTATCGAGGCCTCAGGATCCGAGCCCCACAGAGTAGATGCTGAACCCAGTAGTGTTTCAGTGGCTGTGCGAACGTTTGGGTCGTCCGATGGTCGACCTGTTCGCAACACGGTTCAACAATCAACTCCCGTTGTTTGTATCACCAGTCCCGGACCCGAGGGCCATCGATCACGATGCTCTCGCGTTAGACTGGACGGGCTTGGACGCTTATGCTTACCCGCCGACAGCGTTGATACCACACATTCTAAGCCGGCTTCGAGGAGTTCGCTGTCGAATGTTACTGATCGCGCCCATGTGGCCGAACAGATCGTGGTACCCCGACTTGCTGACCCAGGTCACGCAGTCGCCACTCCCACTGCCTGTGAGACCGGATCTCTTGATCCACCCTCACACCCGTCAGCTTCATCCAAACGCAGGGCAGTTCAATCTGCACGCGTGGATGTTGTCACCGAGCATCTGAGGAGTAAAGGTTTTTCTCGCCGGGCGTCTCGGGCATACGTTAGTATTCATCGTGATTCTACCCAGAAGGTGTATAATGCACGTTGGGTTATTTTCACGAAGTGGTGTTGTAAACATCACATTCATTCGCCAGATAAGGTATCTGTGCAGGATATTGCTCGTTTCATGTCTCACTTGCGAGAGACCCGGAAACTCTCCGGGGGTTCCATTGCCAACTATGTCTCGTCCGTTGCTACGGTACGGGACGTTGCTATGGGTACCAGTCTCTCCAAAGAGCCGGTGATACGGGGTATTATCAAGGGTTTCAAACAGCACGATCTTAAGAAGGGCGGCCTTCGGGCACCGGCCTGGGATCTTTCCCTAGTGTTGCAATCACTTACGGAAGCTCCGTATGAACCCTTGCATAGTGCTTCGTTCCGGCATGTGACTTGGAAAACAGCATTTCTCCTCTCCTTTGCCACGGCGGCATGTGTATCCGAAATTCATGCACTCGATGTCGCCAAGGTACGATTCGATAGGGGTGACGAAGGAGCGGTCCGCCTGGGCCTGCTCATGGGCTTCGTCGCCAAGAATCAGAGAGTCGGGCAAACGGAGAGAGAATTCACTGTAAGATCCCTCAAAGAAATCTTACATCCTGCTGATACTGAGGACAGAGCGCTGTGTCCGGTTAGGGCCCTTAAGTATTATCTTAAGGCTTCGAATGAACGTAGACAAGGGCGTGACCGTCTGTTCATATCGTGTAACCCTAATCGCACGGTTGACATAACTCGCAACTCGATTGCGTTGTGGCTTCGTTCTGTCATCAATCTGGCGTACCGGTCTCGGGGGTTGCCGGTAGCGGGGTCAAACCCGCACGAGATCAGGGCGCTAGCGGCAACATTTGCCCTACACTCGAATATCTCTGTTCACAGAATATTACGAGGTTGTTACTGGCGTTCTGACTCGGTTTTTGCCAATCATTACCTCAGAAAGGTTTCTGATGAAGACGTGGAGGGGGTGCACCGTCTTGGGCCGCTGATCGCGGCACAAGCGGTCATCTAGGGGGTGTGTCCAGCGCAATTCCAAACTCCGCAGTCGTCAGTCCTTGCACGGTGGTCAATCTGGGTCGTCTCCAATGTTCCCACCCCGTGGGTACAGGAGTGGGGGTCCTGCAAACCAGCGCACTCACACCACAGGTGAGGCGGCTTTTTGTGTGTTTTGTCCTTATTTGTATTTTGACAATTATGCATTTAATTGTCTGTCGTGTATTCCAACCTTGCGATACATGCTTACGAATACTGGAATTAGGTCACGCGCCTAATGCATACTTTAAGTAGGCTTGCTCTGGGATATACGGTCTGAAGGAAATTAATTTCCCTCTTTTCGACTGTTTAACCTGATCTAAGATTTAGCTCACGCGGATACAGTGTTCTCATCCGCTGCGGCGATAAAATACCTATCCAGTGGGGCCGTTTGGAGTCACCAATCGTTTTGGCATTGACGATTGAGCCTTACGGTATGCGCTTGACAGTGCTTTGGTATTCCTATAGGGTAACGCCTAGCTAGGTGCATGCGCATCGAGTGCTTCCGCCTTGGTGTTTACTTCCGCTGGTCGGAAGGAACGCTAGCAGTCAGGATTCGGGTTGTAGATTCTCCCCACCGCCTACTGTGGTAGTCAGCCTCGGTATAACAGTGGTAACGTATTACTTAATGTAATTTGTAGAATTTTCCTATTCGGAATATTCTATAAGTAATACGTTACCACTGGGCTGCTGCCCGCCCGTCCGTCCCCCGAGCACTTGCTCTCGCAGGAGACAAGAGTGAAGGGTGTCACATGGCAGCTAGGTGGCTACGCACGTGCTGCATGAGGTAATTGAGATCTCTGTGGTAGATTTCGCTATAGCAGCAGTTGTGGGAGACAACAGCCTCGGTATAACAGTGGTAACGTATTACTTACAGAATATTCCGAATAGGAAAATTCTACAATTTTGCTTGTTACACATCTTCTGTTTCTTGATTTCAGATGATGAGAGCTGCTGAAGGTAGGATTTCATTAAAACACTGATCCTTTGGAGAGGAGATTCTATGTCTCTAAGAGGGGACCATGTTTTGGCTTTATCCCTTGTGTAGATTGTACTGAGTGTTCCCTCCCCTTAATCATGTTAATGTCTGTGAGAAAGGATTTGATTGGGCCTCATCACTTGTTACATCCCTCTGGTCCTTTAGTTTATATTCCTACACCACAACTTAATATATAAATGTGTCAAATGAAAAACAAGATTTGTTGTCAATTCTTCTTGTTTCTTGGTTCCAGATCCAAAGAAAGTAGCATCTGCAATAGCATCTCTGGAGGTTTGTATGTTATCAAGTTTCTTTTTTAACATGCTCAAACATATATTTGTCTTGTGGTGCACCTTCTCGAAACATGTGTGTTTCATACACACATCACCTTGGTTATATACTGGTATCTATGTGGTGGTGCACCTGCTCAATACACACATCACCTTGGTTTGATACTGGTATCTATGTGGTGGTGCACCTGCTCAATATACACATCACGTTGGTTTGATACTGGTATCTATGTGGTGGTGCACCAGCTCAATATAAACATCACGTTGGTTATATACTGGTATCTATGTGGTGGTGCACCAGCTCAATATAAACATCACGTTGGTTACATACTGGTATCTATGTGGTGGTGCACCAGCTCAATACACACATCACCTTGGTTTGATACTGGTATCTATGTTGTGGTGCACCAGCTCAATATAAACATCACGTTGGTTATATACTGGTATCTATGTGGTGGTGCAACAGCTCAATATAAATATCACCTTGGTTTGATACTGGTATCTATGTTGTGGTGCACCAGCTCAATATAAACATCACCTTGGTTTGATACTGGTATCTATGTAGTGGTGCCCCAGCTCAATATAAACATCACCTTGGTTATATACTGGTATCTATGTGGTGGTGCCCCAGCTCAATATAAACATCACCTTGGTTATATACTGGTATCTGTGTAGTGGTGCACCAGCTCAATGCACACATCACCTTGGTTTGATACTGGTATCTGTCTAGTGGTGCACCAGCTCAATACACACATCACCTTGGTTTGATACTGGTATCTATGTGGTGGTGCACCAGCTCATTACACACATCACCTTGGTTTGATTCTGGTACCTGTGTAGTGGTGCACCAGCTCAATACGCACATCACCTTGGTTTGATACTGGTATCAGTGTAGTGGTGCACCAGCTCAATACGCACATCACCTTGGTTTGATACTTGTATCTATGTGGTGGTGCACCAGCTCAATACACACATCACCTTGGTTTGATTCTGGTACCTGTGTAGTGGTGCACCAGCTCAATACGCACATCACCTTGGTTTGATACTGGTATCAGTGTAGTGGTGCACCAGCTCAATACACACATGACCTTGGTTAGATACTGGTATCAGTGTAGTGGTGCACCAGCTCAATACGCACATCACCTTGGTTTGATACTGGTATCTATGTAGTGGGGCACCAGCTCAATACGCACATCACCTTGGTTTGATACTGGTATCAGTGTTGTGGTGCACCAGCTCAATATACACATCACCTTGGTTTGATACTGGTATCAGTGTAGTGGTGCACCAGCTCAATACGCACATCACCTTGGTTTGATACTGGTTTCTATGTGGTGGTGCACCAGCTCAATACACACATGACCTTGGTTTGATACTGGTATCAGTGTAGTGCTGCACCAGCTCAATACACACATGACCTTGGTTTGATACTGGTATCAGTGTAGTGGTGCACCAGCTCAATACGCACATCACCTTGGTTTGATACTGGTATCAGTGTAGTGGTGCACCAGCTCAATACGCACATCACCTTGGTTTGATACTGGTATCAGTGTAGTGGTGCACCAGCTCAATATAAACATCACCTTGGTTATATACTGGTATCTATGTGGTGGTGCACCAGCTCAATACACACCTCACCTTGGTTTGATACTGGTATCTATGTGGTGGTGCACCAGCTCAATACACACATCACCTTGGTTTGATACTGGTATCTGTCTAGTGGTGCACCAGCTCAATATAAACATCACCTTGGTTTGATACTGGTATCTATGTAGTGGTGCACCAGCTCAATATAAACATCACCTTGGTTTGATACTGGTATCTATGTGGTGGTGCACCAGCTCAATATAAACATCACCTTGGTTTGATACTGGTATCTATGTGGTGGTGCACCAGCTCAATACACACATCACCTTGGTTTGATACTGGTATCTATGTGGTGGTGCACCAGCTCAATATAAACATCACCTTGGTTTGATACTGTTATCTATGTGGTGGTGCACCAGCTCAATATAAACATCACCTTGGTTTGATACTGGTATCTATGTGGTGGTGCACCAGCTCAATATAAACATCACCTTGGTTTGATACTGGTATCTATGTGGTGGTGCACCAGCTCAATATAAACATCACCTTGATTTGATACTGCTATCTATGTGGTGGTGCACCAGCTCAATATAAACATCACCTTGGTTTGATACTGGTATCTATGTGGTGGTGCACCAGCTCAATATAAACATCACCTTGATTTGATACTGGTATCTATGTAGTGGTGCACCAGCTCAATGCACACATCACCTTGGTTTGATACTGGTTTGTATGTAGTTGTGATTACATTGAACTCAACCAATGCCACTCCATTCGTTGTCTTGGCTCATTCCAAACAGTTGTTTAATTTTGTCATGGCTGAAAGAAGATTACATTTATTTATTTTTTTATCAACAAAATTTTTATGCTATATTTTTCTCTGTTACAGCTCTCATTGATCACGCTGTTTGTGTGCAACATTCCCACTGACGTGACCTCAGAACAACTGTTAGAGCACTTCGCCAAGTGGGGGAATATCTATGCATGCAGAATAGGAGGAAATTATGGCCGGTAAGCTGATGCAGCATTCCACTGCAGAAGAAATGGTAGAAAGGTTTTTAAACTGGAAATGTTTTTGTTTGTTGAAAAGTCTTTGAACATGTTGAATCGTTTGTTGGATATTCGTTGCCATTAATCAAATGTTAATGGTGAGTGTCACATTGCACAAACTTACGTCCTTGTCGTCAAACGGTCCACGTTGGAAATGTTTCTGTTATCATGACTTCATATTGTTCTGTCAGATTACTCGCATAAGCTTCATCTACTGAGAGTGCAGTAGTTCCTACCGCAAATACGGCTTTAAGAATCTCAAGGCAGCTGAAAGGTTCTACACTTGCTAGTTACCTAGTTCCTATAAACTCGATGATTGCTACTAGTACAAATGTTTCCAGAGTAGTGGAACTTCAATCCTCAATACGATCGATCGTACAAACTGGCGGACCAGTCTCCTTGATTCAGACCACGAGCTTTGGACTTGAATGTCATCTTGTCATTTATCATCTGAAGATTACGAATCCCTGGCTGATGAAAACTTGAAGTTTATCACAGTCAAGATGATCTTCCTGTTAGCATTGGTGTCCCGAACCATGTGTGCGCTCACCTCTGCTTTCGGGTAATGTTATGCTTGGACGGTAGACCCTTTAGGGTGTTGTCTCTTCTAGTTCATGCCTGCACAATTACTGCGGTCATGGATGGTTGGTTGAAGTGTTAAAAGGGATGCCAAGCTGTAAATAGATACATGCATTGGTCAGACCGCTGATAGTGATGGTAATATTGGTTATGGTTTGGAAGTGTTTGGGTGAGGTGTTTTTCTAAGCTGTAGTATTTGTAAAGCTGTAAACATTTGTAGTATCTTTTCCACTCCAAGATCTAAAAAAGGATTGAGATAGGAAAAAGTTTTATAAATACACAATTTATTGTAAAATTAACCGTAATTAAAGGGATCAAACAGTTGAAAATCTAATTATTAGGTTAGTAAACTGAAAAAGAAGATTTTTACTTTGTTGCAAACATCTAATTTCCTAGATACACTAAGTCAATTTCCAAGAGAAAAAGTATCATAATATTTCTAGAAAGAATTTAAATGTCCAAGTGTAAGTGCTGAAATCACACGCTGCATAATCAGCTTCCGAAACAAACTTATTTGGGGGCTTGACCTAAAGCTTCTGGCACAGCGGTGACAAATGTTTTCATTGGCTGATATGTTTGTCTCGTTCATATATCATATGATTTTGTTGGTCCTCCAGAAATAACAACATTGCATACATTGTTGAATATGTGAAACGACCTTTGATCTTGACTTGTGAATAAGTAAAACAACCCTTAACAATCTTTAACAAGCATTTTATTACTGACATCCTGTTTGGATAAAAAAACATCAACTACCCACTGTCCTATTCCACACAATGAATGCCTGTCAGGGATTAATCCCCTGAGTAGATAACTGAAGGCATCTTTAGTGCAGCAAATGTTATATTTGGGATAACACTTTCTTAGTAAAGTACAGATTCTCGTACTTTTTGGGGGTTGAGTCCTGTCCTGGATTCGAACCCACACTTGCCAGAGTGAGGCACCTAATCGCCAGCACACAAAGTCAGCGATCTAACCCACTCAGCCACCGAGGCTTCCACAAAAATGAAAGTCCGACAACTGGTAGTCTAGATCACATATTTTGAGTACCCCTCTGACTAGTGTAAATTGGCATGGCCGAAAGCTATGAATACACAATGCCATTTAGAAAGTGGTCAAATGTAACAAATGTTATATTTGGGATAACACACTTTTAGTAAGTGTCATTACTAATAAGTCGACATATAAGTTTTGGACACAGGAATCAAATGGATGAGCAGGCAAAGAGAAAGGCTGTAATTTATAAGTAAATCCAAGTAGGAAGCACACAAACTAGGGGTCAGTCCGATCATCATGATTGTTGAAATTGCACAAGGCATCAGACACCAGGAAGCCGTTTTAACCCCAGTCAGTTTGATCTTTTTTGTGCAGAGTTGCTTCCCTTAGAAGTGTTAGCCGCACCAGGATTTGCTGACCATTGTGTCTAAACATTCTCCCTTATATGATCCTTGGATTGTCAGCACCCCTTCCCAATCTTGTGGGTGTCACCAAAGGGAAAAATGTCTGTGAGTTTAATCATTTGCCCCCAAAATTAAGCAGACAAATGGTAATTCTGTTCAAATCAGCATAAAACCCATCTCACTCTGTTCCAGAAACAATAACTTTGGCTATGTTTGCTACAACAAGAAAGAAGATGCTATGAAAAGTCTGAATGAGCCTCACATTCTGAAAGACCAGAAGCTGTTTCTGCGCGTGTCGGACACAGTCAAACCTGTGAGTATACACACTCCGACCTTGAGGACCAAAATAAACCTCAAGATGGGGGGATGAGAACAGTGTGTTGACAATCATTGAAGTGTGTGTTGTGGCCGATGGGTGGGTCGGGGTTGTGATGGTGGTGGTTGTAGGAATGGGTGCCATCTGTCTTTCTTATGTCCACCTAAACTAACATCATTAGTGAGACGTTTAGAACCCTGTCACACCTAGCAGACCAGGACAAGCTTCATACAGGCTTAAAAGGCCTTCAGTTCTAAGGTCCCACGTAAAAAAGCCTAACATTCTGACAGCTAAAAGGCCACATAGCATGTTGTTTTGGTAGGGGCCATTGGTAATTCTTATTTTGACTGTCTTCAAACGATAAAATCTTCAGATTATTAACAGAATTCCTCTTCAATGTCAACTGTCCATAATCAGTTGTGCAAGTAATAGTATCTTGCTACCGAAACCTCATGCAATAAGGTGGAAAAAACTCGCTTTTGTTCAATTTCTGACATGTAGATGCAGAAAATTGGGGAGATGGATTCAGTTACTCCTGACAGAGTTAGTATTCTTTGAATTATTTACAATGATAAATATTGTTGGATATTTCAGGCTTGTTTCGATATAGTTTGCTTGTTACGCATCTTCTATTTCTTGTTTTCAGATAAATACAGATTCAAAAGGTAGGATTTCAATCAAACAATGGAGGGGGACCCCATGTCTGTAAGATAAGGCCTCATCACCTGTATAGATTTACTGGACGTGATGAGATTAGGTTCCCATCCCCAATGTTTCTTAGAAGGAACTACGGGCCTCATCACCTGTATAGCTTGTACTGGACATGATGAGATTAGGTCCCCAGCCCCACTGTCTGTAAGAAGGAACTACGGGCCTCATCACTTGTATTGATTGTACTGGACGTGATGAGATTAGGTTCCCAGCCCCAGTGTCTGTAAGAAGGAACTACGGGCCTCATCACTTGTATAGATTGTACTGGACATGATGAGATTAGGTTCCTAGCCCCAGTGTCTGTAAGAAGGAACTACGGGCCTCATCACTTGTATTGATTGTACTGGACGTGATGAGATTAGGTCCCCAGCCCCAGTGTCTGTAAGAAGGAACTACGGGCCTCATCACCTGTATAGATTGTACTGGACATGATGAGATTAGATTCCCAGCCCCAATGTCTGTAAGAAGGAACTACGGGCCTCATCACCTGTATAGATTGTACTGGACATGATGAGATTAGGTCCCCAGCCCCAGTGTCTGTAAGAAGGAACTACGGGCCTCATCACTTGTATTAATTGTACTGGACATGATGAGATTAGGTCCCTAGCCCCAGTGTCTGTAAGAAGGAACTACGGGTCTCATCACTTGTATTAATTGTACTGGACATGATGAGTTTAGGTTCCTAGCCCCAGTGTCTGTAAGAAGGAACTACGGGCCTCATCACTTGTATTAATTGTACTGGACATGATGGGATTAGGTTCCCAGCCCCAATGTCTGTAAGAAGGAACTACGGTGTCATCACTTGTATAGATTGTACTGGACGTGATGAGATTAGGTCCCCAGCCCCAATGTCTGTAAGAAGGAACCATGGGCCTCATCACTTGTATAGATTGTACTGGACGTGATGAGATTAGGTCCCCAGCCCCATTGTCTGTAAGAAGGAACTACGAGCGTCATCACCTGTACAGATTGTACTGGACATGATGAGATTAGGTCCCCAGCCCCAGTGTCTGTAAGAAGGAACTACGGGCCTCATCACTTGTATAGATTGTACTGGACATGATGAGATTAGGTTCCCAGCCCCATCGCTGTAAGAAGGAACTACGGGCCTCATCACTTGTATTGATTCTACTGGACATGATAAGATTAGGTTCCCTGCCCCAGTGTCTGTAAGAAGGAACTGCGGGCCTCATCACTTGTATAGATTGTGCTGGACGTGATGAGATTAGGTTCCCAGCCCCAATGTCTGTAAGAAGGAACTACGGGCCTCATCACTTGTATTGATTGTACTGGACGGGATGAGATTAGATTCCTAGCCCCAATGTCTGTAAGAAGGAACTACGGGCCTCATCAGTTGTATAGATTGTACTGGACATGATGAGATTAGGTTCCCAGCCCCAATGTCTGTAAGAAGGAACTACGGGCCTCATCACTTGTATTGATTGTGCTGGACATGATGAGATTAGGTTCCTAGCCCCAATGTCTGTAAGAAGGAACTGCGGGCCTAATCACTTGTATAGATTGTACTGGACATGATGAGATTAGGTCCCCAGCCCCAATGTCTGTAAGAAGGAACTACGGGCCTCATCACTTGTATTGATTGTGCTGGACATGATGAGATTAGGTTCCTAGCCCCAATGTCTGTAAGAAGGAACTACGGGCGTCATCACCTGTATAGATTGTACTGGACATGAGATTAGATTCCCAGCCCCAGTGTCTGTAAGAAGGAACTACGGGCCTCATCACTTGTATTGATTGTACTCGACATGAGATTAGATTCCCAGTCCCAATGTCTGTAAGAAGGAACTACGGGCCTCATCACTTGTATTGATTGTACTGGACATGATGAGATTAGGTTCCCAGCCCCAATGTCTGTAAGAAGGAAATACGGGCGTCCTCACCTGTATAGATTGTACTGGACATGAGATTAGGTTCCCAGCACCAATGTCTGTAAGAAGGAACTACGGGCCTCATCACCTGTATAGATTGTACTGGACATGATGAGATAAGGTTCCCAGCCCCATTGTCTGTAAGAAGGAACTACGGGCCTCATCACTTGTATTGATTGTACTGGACATGATGAGATTAGGTTCCCAGCCCCAGTGTCTGAAAGAAGGAACTACGGGCCTCATCACCTGTATAGATTGTACTGGACATGATGAGATAAGGTTCCCAGCCCCAGTGTCTGTAAGAAGGAACTACGGGCCTCATCACTTGTATTGATTGTACTGGACATGATGAGATTAGGTTCCCAGCCCCAGTGTCTGAAAGAAGGAACTACGGGCCTCATCACTTTTTACATCCCCTCTGTAGACAATCTTGTCCTGAAGTTTCCTCACGCCATAGAATTGAATATATGTTATTGCGCAATCATAAACCTAGATTGTTATAGATGGTATTTGTTTCTTAGTTCCAGATCGAAGGAAAACAGCATCTTTGGAGGTTTGTATGTTCTCAATTCTCTCTTTCAACATGCTCAAACATATGACTGTTTTGTAGTGCACGTGCTCAAACATTTGTTCAGTGATGCACCTCCTCAAACATGTCTGTCTGGGCATGCACCTGCTCAATTTACACACAATAATAATAATAATTGCAAGCAATGATGCAGGCTCCATGTTATGCTGATATATAATAGCGGAAGTGGAAGTCATGGAAGTCCATTCTCAGTATCTCACTTTGGTTATACAGAGAACTAGAACAATGAAACCGAGTTCTTAATTAATGGCCCTAGGTGATTACCATTAAGGCATTTTTCCTTGTCTTCTAAGTAGCTTCAAGTAAGGATATGAGCACAACTAAAAGATCGTAATATGGTCTTTATTGTCAATGTGATTTTTCACTGGTCCGTTTTGACGGACATTTGTCCATTTTGGTGCTAGTCGAGTTTGGCATTATTAAGGGAGGTAACTTTGTTTGCCCCTTTGGCAATTGGAGCATGCATTACCCATCACTTCAACCGCCAGTATCAACAGCTGTAGCCGAGAACACTATTTACCTATCCTCTCATTTACGTGTTCTCAGTGTATATAGTGTTTAGGCAGTTATGCACTTCATGGGTAGTCACCATGTGGGTGAAAAACTGCCGATTTGACTTTAAATCTTAACTCACTCACTCACTCACTCACTTCATGGGCAAGAATGCAGTTTACCAGATACAGCCCGCTACAGTGCTACTACTATCTCGGTATACCGTTACTTTGGTTCATACTCCCATGCCCTTGACTTACCTTTTTTCAAAATAAATTTTGAATTATCTGCCTAATTGAGCCTATGGCACTGGGATTTTTGTGGTATCTACTTAACATTACTGCAGATATTGCTGGTTTTTTTTGGAGTGATTCTTCAAACTGGGTGTTGAAGTAGCTCTGGTAAAAAAAAAGGCAGAAAAAAAATAATAATACAGATGAGTGCAACAGGTGCTTGCCTTTAAGGCATGGATCAATAATAATAGGCCATTAATATTGCGCATATTTCTACACCACAGAGGGGCATGCTCAAAGTGCTATTATTACCCAGGTCACTGGATTAGTGTGCACTCAATAATCGTTCTCAGCTCCCTGGGGAGTATACAACCCAAGCACTAGGTTAACAACCACATTACCATCTCATCCTACCCGGTTCACTGCTATTGACTCTATCTTGTTGGTAGCATTCTCACAACTAACAGACCACTATTCACTCACTGCTACTATGCCATAGCATGTTGTTTTGATAGGGGATATGGGTAATTCTTATTTGTCATCACGCTATAAAAGCTTCAGATTTTAAACAGAAATCTTCTTCAGTGTCAACTATCCATAATAAGTTGTGCAAGTAATAGTATCTTGCTACCCAAACCTCATGCACTGATGCCAGAAGAGCCTCACTTCTGTCCAAAATCTGACATCTAGATGCAGAAAATTGGGGAGGTGGATGCAATTACTCCCGACAGAGTTAGTGTTCTTTGAATTATTAACAATGATAAATATTGTTGAATATTTCATGCTTGTTCCGATATATATTGCTTGTTAAACGTCTTCTGTTTCTTGATTTCAGAGGATTAAAGATGCAAGAGGTAGGATTTCATTAAAACACTGGAGGGTGACCCCATGACTATAAGAGGGGCTTTAGAAAAGGCCTCATCACTTGAATAGAATGTACTGGATGTGATGACTTAAGTTCACATCTCCCCATGACTCTAATGGGGGACAACAAACTATTGGAGGCGAGACCCGCAAAGATTGGGCCACATCACCTGTATAGATTGTTCTTGGTGTGCTGATATTAGATTCCCAGCCCCAATGTCTGAAAGAAGGAACTACGGGCCTCATCACTCGTTACATCCTGTAGACAATCTAGTCCTTTAGTTTCCTCACTCCATAGAATTGGAACATATATGAATGTGCAAATATAAACCTAGATTTGTTATGAACGCAATTGTTTCTTAGTTCCAGATCGAAGGAGAATAGTAGCTGCTTCAGCATCTTTGCAGGTTTGTATGCCCTCAGTTCTCTCTTTCAACATGCTCAAACATCTATCTGTCTTCTGTGAACCTACTCAAACATATATCTGTATGGTGGTGCACCCCCTCAAACATGTCTTTCCAGTGGTGCACCTGATCAAACATATATTTGTATCGTTATACACCTGATCAAACATATTTGTCTAGTGATGCACCTGATCAAACATATTTGTCTTGTGGTGCACCTACTCAAACACATATCTATCTGTGGTGCACCTGCTCACACACTTATCTGTCAAATGATGCACCTGATCAAACATATATTTGTCTGGTGGTGCACCTGCTCACACACATTTGTCTAGTGGTGAACCTGCTCACACACATTTGTCTAGTGGTGCACCTGCTCACACACACATTTGTCTGGTGGTGCACCTGCTCAAACATCAATCTGTCTGGTGGTGCACCTGCTCAAACATCAATCTGTCTGGTGGTGCACCTGCTCAAACATCAATCTGTCTGGTGGTGCACCTGCTCAAACATCAATCTGTCTGGCGCTGCACCTGCTCAAACATCAATCTGTCTGGTGGTGCACCTGCTCAAACATATACCAGTATCTGTCTGGTGGTGCACCTGCACGAACATCTTTCTGTCTTGTGTTGCGGGGTAGAATAGGTCTTCGGCAAAACAATGATAATTATTGGTGAATATTTCATGCTTGTTCCAATATATATTGCTTGTTAAATATCTTCTGTTTCTTGATTTCAGAGGATTAAAGATGCAAGAGGTAGGATTTCATTAAAACACTAGAGGGGCTTAAGAAAAGGCCTCATCACTTGAATAGAATGTACTGGATGTGATGATATTAAGTTCACTGCTCCCCATGACTGTAATAGGGGACAACGAACTATTGGATGTGAGAGCCGCAAAGATTGGGCCTCATCCCCTGTATAGATTGTACTGGATGTGGTGATATTAGATTCCCAGCCCCACAGTCTGTGAGAAGGAACTACGGGCCTCATCACTTGTTACAATCCTCTGTAGACAATCTGGCCCTTTTGTTTCCTCACACCATAGATTTGAGTATATCTTATTATTCAAATATAAACCTAGATTTGTTATGAATGCAATTGTTTCTTAGTTCCAGATCGAAGGAGAAGAGAAGCTGCTTCAGCATCTTTGGAGGTTTGTATGCCCTCAGTTCTCTCTTTCAACATGCTCAAACATCTATCTGTCTTCTGTGAACCTACTCAAACATATATCTGTATTGTGGTGCACCTTCTCAAACATGTCTTTCCAGTGGTGCATCTGCTCTAACATATATTTGTCTATTGGTGCATCTGCTCAAACATATATATGTATGGTGGTGCATCTGCTCAAACATATATCCGTATGGTGGTGCACCCTCTCAAACATGTCTTTCCAGTTGTGCACCTGATCAAACGTATATTTGTCTAATGATGCACCTGATCAAACATTTTTATCTAGTGGTGCACCTGCTCAAACATATACCAGTATGTGTCTGGTGGTGTGGGGTAGAATAGGTCTTCGGCAAAACAATGATAAATATTGTTGAATATTTTATGCTTGTTCCAATATATATTGCTTGTTAAACATCTTCTGTTTCTTGATTTCAGAGGATTAAAGATGCAAGAGGTAGGATTTCATTAAAACACTGGAGGGGCTTAAAAAAAGGCCTCATCACTTGAATAGAATGTACTGGATGTGATGATATTAAGTTCACTGCTCCCCATGACTGTAATAGGGGACAACGAACTATTGGATGTGAGAGCCGCAAAGATTGGGCCTCATCCCCTGTATAGATTGTACTGGATGTGGTGATATTAGATTCCCAGCCCCACAGTCTGTGAGAAGGAACTACGGGCCTCATCACTTGTTACATCCCTCTGTAGACAATCTGGCCCTTTTGTTTCCTCACACCATAGATTTGAGTATATCTTATTATTCAAATATAAACCTAGATTTGTTATGAATGCAATTGTTTCTTAGTTCCAGATCGAAGGAGAAGAGAAGCTGCTTCAGCATCTTTGGAGGTTTGTATGCCCTCAGTTCTCTCTTTCAACATGCTCAAACATCTATCTGTCTTCTGTGAACCTACTCAAACATATATCTGTATGGTGGTGCACCTTCTCAAACATGTCTTTCCAGTGGTGCATCTGCTCTAACATATATTTGTCTATTGGTGCATCTGCTCAAACATATATCTGTATGGTGGTGCATCTGCTCAAACATATATCCGTATGGTGGTGCACCCTCTCAAACATGTCTTTCCAGTTGTGCACCTGAACAAACGTATATTTGTCTAATGATGCACCTGATCAAACATTTTTATCTAGTGGTGCACCTGCTCAAACATATACCAGTATGTGTCTGGTGGTGTGGGGTAGAATAGGTCTTCGGCAAAACAATGATAAATATTGTTGAATATTTTATGCTTGTTCCAATATATATATTGCTTGTTAAACATCTTCTGTTTCTTGATTTCAGAGGATTAAAGATGCAAGAGGTAGGATTTCATTTAAACACTCGAGGGTGACCCCATGACTATAAGAGGGGCCTACGATAAGGCCTCATCACTTGAATAGAATGTATTGGATGTGATGATATTAAGTTCACAGCTCCCCATGACTCTATTGGGAGACAACAAACTATTGGAGGCGAGAGCCGCAAAGATTGGGCCTCATCACTTGTTTCGATTGTTCTTGGTGTGCTGATATTAGATTCCCAGCCCCAATGTCTGAAAGAAGGAACAATGGGCCTCATCACTTGTTACATCCTGTAGACAATCTAGTCCTTTAGTTTCCTCACTCCATAGAATTGGAACATATATGAATGTGCAAATATAAACCTAGATTTGTTATGAACGCAATTGTTTTTTAGTTCCAGATCAAAGGAGAAGAGAAGCTGCTTCGGCATCTGAAGAGGTTTGTATGTTCTCAGTTCTCTCTTTCAACATGCTCAAACATATTGGTCTGGCGATGCACCAGCTCAATAGACACATCACCTTGATTTGATAGTAGTATCTGTTTGTCGGTGCACCAGCTCATTTCTCACATCACCTTAATTTGATTCTGGTATCTTTCTGGTGGTGCACCAACTCAATACACACATCAGCTTCCTTTGATACTGGTATTTTTTCTAAGATGCTTTGCTAAAAGATGATTTCAACCATCTTTCATGTGGCAGGCTTATCCAAAACATATTCAAACAAGTTTGTCCATGCCATAGCAGTCACAAAATTGTGAGAGGTGGGTGTTGGTGCCCAGAAAATGTATGTCTCTCAGGACAAAGGAATAAGCAATCCTTGAAAAGTTTCATAGCCACATGTACATCTGTTGCTCAGTGTATGGCATTTAACAAAATACAGCATCAAACAAAACGGCCGCTGTTACTCTTCCTCCGCCATGTTCATCCCACGGCAAAGCTATATCGTGCCCCACGCAGTGTATTCACGTTGGTAGCATGTAGCATGTAGCACAACCAACACGATAAGAACACTATTTCCTGGCTTACAGTTGTTGGAGTCTGCTAACACTAGTAGTGGAAACAAGTTGCAACTTAAAACACCTCAACTCATAAAACCAACGGGGGGCCCAGTCGTCTAAGGCGCTGCAATTCGCTGTGCAATGTTGCGTCCCTTGGGCACGCGAGAAACCTATGATTGTGGGTTCGAATCCTGGTTTGCCCCGATTATGTTTCTAAGTTTGTCAGCACCATACCCATGCTCGAGGGTTTCACCGAAGTGGTCAACGTCTGAGACCTGCATCACTTCGGGCTTTCCTACCACATTAAGCTGACACGCTGTGATATGACTGTTATACTGTTAAAAGTGGCGTAAAACCCAACTCACACACTCATAAAACCAACGATACCGAACTTTGGCTTTGTTTACATGTGTTATCTCGGCCCATCAATGCACTTGTGGAATGTATCGAGTCACTTGATTTAAATTGAAGCAAATTGATATGAATACTTAATTTAAAAATCCTCCTTTGTGCTGCATGTGTTTATTGATAACCACGCTGAATGAAAAAATGAAATATGAACTATTTGAATATTAATTATACTACCCATTTTAGTGATGTATTAAAATGTAAATATGTCTCTTAATATAAGGGTACAAGCAATGGAGTGAATTTGTTCGTGGTCTAATATAACACAAGGGTAGTCTTAAATTCAGCATGTTGGAAAAGTAAAAAGGTTTGCTCTACCCCAATGTATAGCGTAATAAAGTAAAGTAATGCCCTGAACTATTTAAACGTCAAAGTCCTCATGCTTTAACTATTATAGTTCGGGGCAAAACTAAACTTTATAACACTTAACATGTAGGTAGAGCAAACTTTAATTCTTGAGTAGGTTTGGTTTGTTACTAGTGGTGCTCACAATGGACAGCCTTGCACACTGCGTGTAATTGCCCCTCTTATTGATATCTTTGGTATACTGCTGACAATGGCATACAACCATCTACCATGTATTTGGGAAATACTTGATGCTGATTGGTCAAGGAGGAGTTTAAAAGCACAAAAACTGCCTTTGCTGCATAACTGTGGATAACTGTAGAAGCAAATATTTATAGAGAAGTACTTTCCTTCATGGTCAACAGGCTTTTTGAAACAATGATATGGACAACCAAAGGTTACAAATGCAAAGTTTCAGTAGCTACAACATTCAAAGTGTGGTCATAGATATTACGAAGAACATTTGATGGACTGAGAGAGTGTGTTAGAAGTTTTGAGCTTTAGTGTCTTTCCTTATCCAATCTCATTAAAATCAGATCTTAGTTCTCGTTATCACCAAACAAACATCTGAGGACATCCCATTACGGGTCACGTCAGACCGACCTTGCGCGAATTTTGACAGACCAATTGAAGGACTGACAAGAAGTCGACATTAGCCAATCAGAAGGCAGCTTTCTCGTGCTTTACGGCACTAATTTCAAATTGGCGACTACGCTTCAAAACATATTTTGACAAATTTTCGATTAAAAATTTGAAACCTGAACAAAAGGACATTCCGGAAGGGCAAATATATGGTCTCGATTGTATGGATTCAGTTGTTAAACCTGTAACTGTCGTTCGGAATACCCTGTGTTAAAGTTTTCGAGATTGCATGATTAGAAATCACATTCCGACTGTCACTCTCATGATCTGGTAAGCGACGCCCTGATTGGTCGGATGAAAGGTCGTTCTGACGTGACCCCTAATGGGATGTCCTCAGATCTGTTTTGCAGTAGTGAGAACTAAGATCTGATTTCAATGAGATTGTTCCTAATCCGACTGACTTTTGCTAAATTTTACAAAAGTCCATGTTGGCTTACATAGTAGCTGTGCTACACACATTTCATTAAGAAAGAAATGACTCGTCATTGTCTGTCGAACAATAAAACACTTCTGTTGTACAATAAACAACGACCACATTTATTTCTTATGAGATGTTAACAGTATGTACAGCCTCTTTATGGATTTTGCTAAATGTACAAATTTTAAGAATATTTACCCATATGTTAATAATGATGACTCCCTCAATAGAATCCCAATCTCAACCATTTTATGCAAAGGAGGGTATTTCCCGCATATTCTCATAATCCTCAGGTCGATTAGCTATACCTTTTCTCCCAATGCCCATGTCATATCTCTCCTGCTTTTCAATACAATCATTAGACCATCTCCTTTATCTGCGTTGCCCAGCTACATCTGAGGGGAACAACTCACAAGACACTGCCCTCTCAAAAATAATGTCGTCCAATAAGTCATTACGTCAGTAATGTGCGAGAGCATGTTTAAATCGCCATGTTCTATCATCATGATAGAACAGTGTTTTATCGTGAAATAAACCCCCCTTCGTTCTTCATTGTTTTTTGCGATTTATCGCATAGCTGTCTTATATATACCTGTAATGTATGTGAGTGAAGTATAATAATTTGAAAAATAACAACGTTTGTGCATATTCAGGGCCATGCTTTGTTTAAAGGCTGATAACATTGTTTCCTTTGTTCAGATTGAAAACCCACTGAAAACATTGATCTCATCCAATGCCGCTCTTTTCAATGTCTTTGCTAACTCCAATAAGTTTATGTTTAATTTTGTCATGAAGGAATGAAGATAACATTTTGGTTGTTAAAATATCAGGGCCATTTTTATGCGATGGTTTTCTCGGTTGCAGTCGTCACTGAAGATCAAGCTGTATGTGTCCTACATACCTGCTGGTGTGACTTCCAACGAACTGTTGATGCACTTTTCCAAGTGGGGGATAATCCTCAAATGCACAGTAGAAGGACTTATTGGGCGGTAAGCTGATTCACTGCCTCTGTGAACTTGCGGACAGATTGTCTGCCGGGAAGTTAGAAGGTCAGGGGTTCAATTCCCGACTGGTTCATACCAAAAGACATTAAAAGATGGTGCTTTTTTAACCCTGCCTAGTACTCGGCATTAAGGGGAGAAATCAAAGATGGCTTGGAGTTGTTGGTATACTGTGTCTGAATAGGGTATCCAAAATCACGCACGCACACACACACACACACACATGTAATAAAATAATCTTGAATTTTGACAATTGACCCCATGTAAACTCACCTCACCTGGATCATCAGTTAGCCATGGTGGGCTGACCTGCTGACTTGTCTCAAGGTTAAGAAAATGTGAATTTTAAAAATTATCCTATCCCTTCTACCCATTTGCCACTCCTGGTTGTTAAGCAGACCGACATTGATACCTGCCATATCCCGATTACCTCTCGGTGTCTGAATACTATCGATATGCGCTCCATAGGAGCAACACCAGGAGCAACATTGCAACGCAGATCAACATCGACGCTCATCACGCCCTTGAGGCACCTCCCCTGTTCATAGCACAGATGCTCAAAGTGTCAGATCTCTCGGAGGAAGAATTACACAACTGTATAATCGCGTTTTGTCAGTAGCGTGACCGGCTATCAAAGTAATTTTATCTGTTGATACTGTGCTTGGACCTTCACCTCCTAAGGAACCTAATGAATTACTTAAATGGCAGTACGATCGATTTTAGCAGTCAATCAGACCATGATGTCAATCACTAGATTGTCTGGTCCAGACTCGATTATTCACAGACCCTTGTCGCGTTGTTGAAATAATGCTGAGTGAGGCGTTAAAAAAAGACAATAAACCACCAACTGCCCTCTGTCCTATTCCACACAATGAATGCCCGTCAGGGATTAACCCCTTGGGAATACAACTGAAGGCATCTTCAGTGTTGTTACTAATAAGCCATAAGATGACATAACTTTATTGACACTGGAATCAAATGGATGAGCAGACAAAGAAAAGGTGTATAAAAAAATCTGAGCCAGAAGCAGGCAGAGTGGGTGCCAGCCCGATCGTCATGATTGTTGAAATTTCATGATGCATCAAACACTGGGAGCCCGTTTTAAGCCCAGTTTGGGGAAACAAGTCAGCATGAATTGTTTTGTGTAGAGTTGCTTCCCTTAGAAGTGTTAGCTACTCCAGGATTTGCTGACCATTGTGTCTAAACATCTCCCTTATATGATCCTTGGTTTGTCAGCACCCCTTCCCAATCTTGTGGGTGTCACCAAAGTGAAAAATGTCTGAGTTTAATCATTTGCCCCCAAATTAAGCAGACAAACTGAAATACTGTTCAATGCAGAGTAAAACCCATCTCACTCTGTTCCAGAGACAATGGCTACGGCTATGTTTGCTACAACAGTGAAAGAGATGCTCTGAAATGTCTGAATGAGCAACACTATATGCAAGGAAGGAAGCTGAGTGTACGTGTGTCAGACGAAAGCAAATATGTGAGTATACGCATTCCTTTCTTATGGTCATAGCTGTGAGCAGAGCTATAAGAATGAGCTGATAACATTCCCACAGCTAACAAACCACTATTCACATACTGCACCTGTGCTATTGACTCTCTACCTTGTTGATAACATTCCCACAACTAACAGACCACTATTCACTTACTGCACCTGCGCTGTTGACTCTCTACCTTGTTGACAACATTCCCACAACAAACAGGCCACTATTCACTTACTGCACCTGTGCTATTGACTCTCTACCTTGTTGGTAACATTCCCACAACTAACAGACCACTATTCACTTACTGCACCAATGCTATTGACTCTCTACCTTGTTGACAACATTCCCACAGCTAACAGACCACTATTCACTTACTGCACCTGTGCTATTGACTCTCTACCTTGTTGATAACATTCCCACAGCTAACAGACCACTATTCACTTACTGCACCTGTGCTATTGACTCTTTACCTTGTTGACAACATTCCCACAGCTAACAGACCACTATTCACTTACTGCACCTGTGCTATTGACTCTCTACCTTGTTGATAACATTCCCACAGCTAACAGACCACTATTCACTTACTGCACCTGTGCTATTGACTCTCTACCTTGTTGATAACATTCCCACAGCTAACAGACCACTATTCACATACTGCACCTGTGCTATTGACTCTCTACCTTGTTGACAACATTCCCACAGCTAACAGACCACTATTCACTTACTGCACCTGTGCTATTGACTCTCTACCTTGTTGACAACATTCCCACAGCTAACAGACCACTATTCACATACTGCACCTGTGCTATTGACTCTCTACCTTGTTGATAACATTCCCACAGCTAACAGACCACTATTCACTTACTGCTGCTGTGCTGTTGACTCTCTACCTTGTTGATAACATTCCCACAGCTAACAGACCACTATTCACTTACTGCACCTGTACTATTGACTCTCTACCTTGTTGATAACATTCCCACAGCTAACAAACCACTATTCACATACTGCACCTGTGCTATTGACTCTCTACCTTGCTGATAACATTCCCACAGCTAACAGACCACTATTCACTTACTGCACCTGTGCTATTGACTCTTTACCTTGTTGACAACATTCCCACAGCTAACAGACCACTATTCACTTACTGCACCTGTGCTATTGACTCTCTACCTTGTTGATAACATTCCCACAGCTAACAGACCACTATTCACATACTGCACCTGTGCTATTGACTCTCTACCTTGTTGACAACATTCCCACAGCTAACAGACCACTATTCACTTACTGCACCTGTGCTATTGACTCTCTACCTTGTTGACAACATTCCCACAGCTAACAGACCACTATTCACATACTGCACCTGTGCTATTGACTCTCTACCTTGTTGATAACATTCCCACAGCTAACAGACCACTATTCACTCACTGCTGCTGTGCTGTTGACTCTCTACCTTGTTGATAACATTCCCACAGCTAACAGACCACTATTCACTTACTGCACCTGTACTATTGACTCTCTACCTTGTTGATAACATTCCCACAGCTAACAAACCACTATTCACATACTGCACCTGTGCTATTGACTCTCTACCTTGCTGATAACATTCCCACAGCTAACAAACCACTATTCACTTACTGCACCTGTGCTATTGACTCTCTACCTTGTTGACAACATTCCCACAGCTAACAGACCACTATTCACTTACTGCACCTGTGCTATTGACTCTCTACCTTGTTGACAACATTCCCACAGCTAACAGACCACTATTCACTTACTGCACCTGTGCTATTGACTCTCTACCTTGTTGATAACATTCCCACAACTAACAGACCACTATTCACTTACTGCACCTGCGCTGTTGACTCTCTACCTTGTTGATAACATTCCCACAACTAACAGACCACTATTCACTTACTGCACCTGTGCTATTGTCTCTCTACCTTGTTGATAACATTCCCACAACTAACAGACCACTATTCACTTACTGCACCTGCGCTGTTGACTCTCTACCTTGTTGACAACATTCCCACAACTAACAGACCACTATTCACTTACTGCACCTACGCTGTTGACTCTCTACCTTGTTGATAACATTCCCACAGCTAACAGACCACTATTCACCTACTGCACCTGCGCTGTTGACTCTCTACCTTGTTGATAGCATCACACGGCAAGCAGACCCCTATTCACGTACAATAGGCAGTGCTATTGTCTCTCTACCATGATAACATTTCCACAGCTCACCAACAGACTGCTCTTCACTTACTCGCTTGTATGCTACAGTGTGTTGTTTTGGTATGGTATATCGGTAATTCTTTATTTCATCACACTATAAAGTCTTCAGATTTTTATAATATGATGAGCACGTAATAGCATCTTTCTACTCACACCTCATCAAGATGTCAGATATTGCAAAGAATTGAGGTTTTTGCCATCAATGTGCAGAAAATTGGTGAGGTAGATGCAATTACTCCTGATAGAGGTCGTGTTCTTTGAATTATTAACAATAATAACTATTGTTAGATATTTCATGTTTGTTCCAATATATTACTTGTAACACATCTTCCTTTCTTGATTTCAGATGATTGAAAATGCAAAAGGTAGGATTTCATTAAAAGGATTCATCACTTGAATAGATTGTACGGAACATGATGAGATTAAGTCATCAGCTCCCCATGACTGTAATAAGGGACTACAAACTATTTGAGATGAGACCCCCATTGATTGGGGACCCATGAAGATCCGGTGTAGAATAGGTCTTCAGCAACCCATGCTTGCCGTAAAAGGTAACTGTGCTAATCTTCAGAGGCGACTAACAGGATCAGGTGGTCAGGTTGGCTGACTTGATGTCAATAACTGGATTGTCTGGTCTAGACTCGATTATTTATAGACCGCCGTCATATGGCTGGAATATTGCTGAGTGTGGTGTTAAACAACAAACAAACTTAATGTGATGAGATTTGGTTCCCAGCCCCCATCAGTAAGAAGGGACAATGTCTGTGAGAAAGGACATTAATTGGGCCTCATCACTTGTTACATCCTTCTGGTCCTTTAGTTTATATTCCTCACACCACAACTGAATATATAAATGTGTCAAATGTAGAAATAGATGCAACTTCTTTCTTTGTTCTAGATCCAAAGAAAACAGCAGCTGCTTCAGAATCTCCAGAGGTTTGTATATTCTCAGTTCTCTCTTTCAACATGCTCAAACGTATTTTCGTCTAGCGATGCACCAGCTCAATACACACAAAGGCTGGTAACAATGTTTCCTTAGTTCAGATTGGAAACCCACTGAAAACATTGAACTCAACCAATGCCACTTCATTCAATGTGTTTGCTAATTGGGATAACATTTAGATTATTTCTGATCCTGACACAACTCATTGCAAATCCTTTTCTGGACTTCGATCCTGTAAAACAGAACCCAAAACGTGCCTCTTCCTTCTCTGGGGCGCCCCAGGCCTCAGTTACCAACAGAAGTTGTCCCTGATCCCTTCACTCACTTCTTATTGCACACAGTGATAGACATACTCTTGGGAATTGAATTGTGTATCCTTGTGTTTTAAGATTTGTTGTCATTCTGTATGACAGTTTCTTCGTCAATACCTGTTTTAGGAGGATACTTCTTCATATTGTGTGGGAATTTTTCATTTGGTATGCAAATTTTGAAAACTTTAAGGCCACGTGGTGTGTTAGAAATACATGCTCCCATGTAAATGGATTCCTGTCTTTCCATTCGCCTTTGTACGTTGTTGTTGTTGTCACACATGGACCTGTCAGCTAGGAGAGATTTGGCAAAATGCAAAATGAAGCGTTCAGATCCGATGAAGGTCACTCCTACTCTGCCTTCGGTACGTATGTGGCAGCCATTAATACCAATACCATCTTGGCGGCTTCAAGGTCCGTCCAGATTAGTACAGCACCGGAAATCACAGCCATGTTAAAGAGCTTCAGACTGCAAGATCAGAAGAAGCACAACATCCCCATAAAAGCAGGGCACATCCATGATTTCACTGCATACCAACTGTAAGGTGACGGATGTCATCAAGGGGTGTTTTTGGTGCACTGACTGTCCCGACGCCGCAAGTTGCAAACCCAACCTCCATCTGTGAGATAAGCATTGCAATGTGTTGTGTCAGGATAAGAAATAGTCCACATGCATTTGATTTTTCATGATATTAGTATACTTATCCTGACACAACACGATTCAGGCCCTCCTGTCCGTCACTGGTCTGACGTTCAAGCAAAGCACTGATGAGAAGTAAGTAAACGGATCAGGGACAGATAACTTGTGTTACTAACTCGGGGCGCCCAAGAGGAGGAAGGGGCACGTTTTGGGTTCTGTTTTATAGGAACAAAGTCCAGAAGGGAATTTGCAATGTGTTGTGTCAGGATAAGAATACTAATATCATGATAATCAAATTCATGTAGTTTGTTTAAAATATCAGGGAAATTTTAATGCTATAATTTTCTCTGTTGCAGTCCTCACAGAAGATTACACTGTTTGTATCCAACATACCTCCTGATGTGACTTCCGATGACCTGTTAAGGCACTTCTCCAAGCATGGGAAAGTCAACAGCTGCAGAATAGTTGGAAAAATTGGGTAAGCTGATGCAGCATTCCATCGCCTGCTAGTGGATGGAGCGTCTGCCTGGAGGGGCTCAATTCCTGACTGGTTCAATCCAAAGGACATTAAAAGATTGTAGTTCTTGTTACCCTTCTGGCCCTCAGCAGTAATGAGATAAAACAATCACAGCTAGGAGTCAGTATACTGCAGGATACACGCACGCACATTCTCCAAGCTTTCCGACGTAGATGACTTTACCGTGGCCCATGCCCACAACTGCCCTATACCCTTTTGAGTTGGTTACATCCTCAGACCTACAACTCCCACCTTTCCCTAGACTACCGACACCCGGAGACCAAGTTGGTGGCTGCCAAACTCGCCATCAAAACCCTTTTAGTCAAGCAGGTTATTTGGGAACACCAAGATAGGGTGGGTCTTTGCCTTTTCTTGGTTCTGATGATCAAAATTGAGGATGATAATAGATCCTGAACAGGACCTTCTTTATCCCTCCACCAAAAATTCAAATGGAAAAATACGCTCGACACAACATTGGGGATTGGCCCTTCAGCATCGACTTCCAAGATGGGGCCCATGCACAGTAGATCATTTGCGTACCTACACATGCTGATTCATCATTCGTCCCAGAGATATCTCGGTTTTGCAGTCAATGGACACTGCTACGAGTTCCAGGTACTTCCGTTGGGATCTAGATTGCCACAAGATTGTTTACCAGGAAAATGTCACCAATCCTCAGTTTTCCCCATCTTCACAGATACTTGGACAATGTTTTAGCAGCCAATCAGGTTCTGCTGACCATTGTGTCTAAAGATTCTCCCTTATATGATCCTTGGTTTGTCAGCACCCCTTCCCAATCTTGTGGGTAAACTCCATCGTATGTCCCCCCCCACACACACACAAAAAAAGCTGCCAAATTCAAATTCTGATCTGATCAGCATAAAACCCATCTCACTCTGTTCCAGAAACAAGGACACAAAGTATGGCTTTGTTTCCTTCAACAATGATAAAGATGCTTTTAGATGTCTGAATGTGACTCACAAACTGAGAAACAACTGGAAGCTGCATTTACGGGTGTCAGACAAAAGCAAACCTGTGAGTATGCACTAGGGCTGAGATGGTTAACTTGGGTACTCGGGTTTAGGTGGGTGCTGAGAAGGACCCGTGGTTAGTTATGTGATATATTGTTAAATGACAAAAATTATTTAAGAACTATATGGTTACACTACAAGTCACTAATGTATGCATTTCTTTTGGACTATGCACCCATTCCTTCTGACTTTTATACATTTGAATAAAGATAAAACTTAAGTCAACTTCAGTGTATACATGACCAGGTTGTTTTATACATGTATCTAAATACATTTTGTTCAGGGCTACGGTCAAACTATTCCCAATCAGACATTTTGTACCTATCTCTTGAGACTTACAGCAGGTACCCGGGAAGGATCGGGGTATAGCAGGGTGGATACCTGGGTAGACCCGTGAAGACCTGGGGTAGAATAGGTCTTCAGCAACCCATGCTTGCAACCCATGCTTGCCATGTTTTCACTTCAAGAACATAAAATAAGAACAAAACTAGATGTGTTGTGTTCATTTCTGGATCATATCTCCATATTTTTTTAAATATATTTTCCATGAATCTTTATACCAATATCAACAGAGTACTGAAATTGTCATGCTGTTTTGGATTTTCTACAAAAAGATCTACACAAATGTCTGAGAGCTGTTTCCATAATTACCGATAACTAAATTGAGATGTACACCAATTGAATTACTGTGAAAGGAACCACAAATCAAAATTAACAAGCAAACTTCTTTGCAGTAGGTTTAATCATTTTTTAGTGCTTTAGTTTGGTTGTTTACAAAAGGGTCCAGAGAACTTAACATGAGTTAAAACATTGATGCAGTAATTTTTATTCTTCCGAAGCTTTCTCAATAAAAAATCACTGCTATATCAATCAACTAAATTCTAATGTGCCCCACTAGCCGTGGCTAGTGACAGGCTGTTACCTTGTTTGTTATGACACATCTTCTGTTTCTTGTTTTCAGCGGGACAAAACTGCAATAGGTAGGTGTTTTTTTATTGGCAGATCTGTAAACCAGTAATGTTATATAAAAGTACCTTAGTTACCTTTGATCTAGCTTGTATAGCACCAGCAAATGTTTCCTGTTTTTTTACTATTGGCTAAAAACCCTGGTGGGATTCTGGCTATCTTGGCTTAAGAGCCAGCTAAGATTGGAGATTGGGTGGTCCTAATGAGGACTGATGTAACAATGTGCTTCTGTCTGCCTGGCTTACAGGCCAAGGTGATAGAGAGAGCTCCTGTGTGAGACAGCTCCTGTGTGCCTGGCTTACAGGGCGTCTTGATACAGAGAGCTCCTGTGTGCCTGGCTTACAGGGCGTCTTGATACAGAGTGCTCCTGTGTGCCTGGCTTACAGGGCGTCTTGATACAGAGAGCTCTTGTGTGCCTGGCTTACAGGGCGTCTTGATACAGAGTGCTCCTGTGTGCCTGGCTTACAGGGCGTCTTGATACAGAGAGCTCTTGTGTGCCTGGCTTACAGGGCGTCTTGATACAGAGAGCTCTTGTGTGCCTGGCTTACAGGGCGTCTTGATACAGAGTGCTCCTGTGTGCCTGGCTTACAGGGCGTCTTGATACAGAGAGCTCTTGTGTGCCTGGCTTACAGGGCGTCTTGATACAGAGAGCTCTTGTGTGCCTGGCTTACAGGGCGTCTTGATACAGAGTGCTCCTGTGTGCCTGGCTTACAGGGCGTCTTGATACAGAGTGCTCCTGTGTGCCTGGCTTACAGGGCGTCTTGATACAGAGTGCTCCTGTGTGCCTGGCTTACAGGGCGTCTTGATACAGAGAGCTCTTGTGTGCCTGGCTTACAGGCTGTCTTGATACAGAGAGCTCCTGTGTGCCTGGCTTACAGGCCATGGTGATAGAGAGAGCTCCTGTGTGACTGGCTTGCAGGCCATGGTGATACAGACAGCTCCTGTGTGCCTGGCTTACAGGCCATGGTGATACAGAGAGCTCCTGTGTGCCTGGCTTGCAGGCCATGGTGATACAGAGAGCTCATGTGTGCCTGGCTTACAGGCTGTCTTGATACAGGGAGCTCATGTGTGCCTGGCTTACAGGCCATGGTGATACAGAGAGCTCCTGTGTGCCTGGCTTACAGGCCATGGTGATACAGAGTGCTCCTGTGTGCCTGGCTTACAGGGCGTCTTGATACAGAGAGCTCCTGTGTGCCTGGCTTGCAGGGCGTCTTGATACAGAGAGCTCCTGTGTGCCTGGCTTACAGGCCGTCTTGATACAGAGTGCTCCTGTGTGCCTGGCTTACAGGCCGTCTTGATACAGAGAGCTCCTGTGTGCCTGGCTTACAGGCCATGGTGATACAGAGTGCTCCTGTGTGCCTGGCTTACAGGCTGTCTTGATACAGAGTGCTCCTGTGTGCCTGGCTTACAGGGCGTCTTGATACAGAGTGCTCCTGTGTGCCTGGCTTACAGGCCGTCTTGATACAGAGTGCTCCTGTGTGCCTGGCTTACAGGGCGTCTTGATACAGAGTGCTCCTGTGTGCCAGGCTTACAGGGCGTCTTGATACAGAGAGCTCTTGTGTGCCTGCCTTACAGGCCATGGTGAAACAGACAACTCCTGTGTGCCTGGCTTGCAGGCCATGGTGATACAGAGAGCTCCTGTGTGCCTGGCTTACAGGCCATGGTGATACAGAGAGCTCCTGTGTGCCTGGCTTGCAGGCCATGGTGATACAGAGAGCTCATGTGTGCCTGGCTTACAGGCTGTCTTGATACAGGGAGCTCCTGTGTGCCTGCCTTGCACACAGGTGATACAGATGGAACAATGCTGTTTCAGATGTTGCTTGCTTGTTTTTTCCAGATACAAAGAATATGTCAGCTGTTCAAAAGGTATGTTTGTTTTCAATTCTCTCTTTCAACATGTTCAGACAAATATCTGTTTGGTGGTGCATGCCACAAACCCACCAATTCTTCCATGGTGTATTATGTATATGATCTCTAGGGTGGGTCTAAGTCAGCCATGACGTCAAATATAATGGTGTCAATTGTTTAGTAATTCATTATATTTTATAAGGCGAGTACACAATTAATAATGGTGCAACATTTGTCAAATTCCACTTAAACAATCAGGTGAATGTGGGAATTTTAAAGACTAATTTATATTCATTCATGAAATTAAATGAAATGAAGGTGGAAATCCTTTAGTGACTGAAAGAGCAACATTGATTACATCTATACATGGGGACAGATATATATGTAGATATATCAGTTCCATTTCTTCAAATAATTTCATTCACCAACATGTATCAGACTAGAGGACACAATAATGGCCCAAACACTGCTGAGTTCAACATGGAACTCACTATGAAAATATTCTGTTTGGTTTTTTTGCAATGGTACTTTGGTACCCTCGGTATCAAATGCACAGGGGTTAAAAGCCAATTGTGGGGTTTTCCCCAGAACTGAGTAAAAGCACCTGTCCCTTTCACAACCTGGTTCCCAAGTTCTGCTATTGAATCTTGGTAACTTCACTTTATGCTTTTGTCCAGATTAAGACTGAACACTCACATCCATCATGTAGGTATTCCAGTGACAACACATTGCATGCCTGATGTTCAAAACTATTCCTTATTGAGACTTCACACCATGTGCACTGATCTCATTAATTTACTCAGACAACAGGTACTGTGGCAACAAGTGAAAGGGTTATAAGTTAAATGTTTGTTTAATGATTAAAGTTAAACTGATGGTGTCGGAAGTCGAATCCTTTTCCGATATGGAGAACAAATGTCATGTGGTTTTTTAACAAATAAAGCAGATGTTGGTTGGACATTGATGTTATTGCTGTACTCTCACCTTCACCAAATACATGTAATCACATGGGAAACACCATGAAATGTATGCGAGCCAGTGATTACCCCACAGTTTAACCTATTTCCACAGTATCTTGAAAAATGTTATTGTGAGGGACGACTGTACCAGTTTGCAAAACGATCTACTTTGTATGGGCCCCATCTTCCAGTCATCCAACGACATGATGGGTGTGTGGTAGTCCAGTAGTTAAAGAGTTCACTTGTCACGCTGAGAGCTTGGGTTTGCTTACCGACATGGATACAATGTGTGAAGCCCATTTGTGTGCCCTGCCATGATATTGCTGGAATATTGCTAAAAGCGACGTAAACCCATACTCACTCATTCACTCCAATGACATGAAATGCAATGAGGATTGTAGAAGTTCAAAATCCTTCTGCTGGTGTGTTGCTTTGTGCATAGTTTTTGGAGTGTCATGTTTTTCATAAACTTTATGCAATGGTAGTTTTACTTTCCGAATATCTCTCTGAGCATGTCAACATTTTCACACAAGTTTTAGGGGGTGGTGGGAATCTGTTAGAATGCACTATTACTTTTTGTAAATGTGACTTTTTCTGTTGCAGAAAAACTTAAACCGTCGCCTTTTTGTGAACAATGTGTCTGCCGCGACCACCCTGAAAGAGGTGTACGACTACTTTGTGAAATGGGGTGAACTGTCTTACTACGCACTCAGACCAACTGCCACGTAAGTACAATTATCAGCTTTGTTAGTACGCCAGCAGAAGACCCCAGGGTGCAGCAGGTTACCATTACTCTATCATGCTCTATGTTTGTGGGGGAACAGGTGGCCCTGTTGTCTAAGGTTTGACGTGCAGAGTTGCATCCCTTGGGCATGTCAGGAAACCAAAAATCTTATGAACCCTCTACCTCCATTACATCATTGCCAAATTCATGTATTTTAGCTACTATCACACTATAACTAAATTTTCAGATTTTCAACAAAGTCCTCTTCACTGTCAACTTCACACAACTAGTTGTTGACACATTATCACCAATTAGCGTTCAGCTCCTCTGTGTGCAAAGAATGGAAAATTCTCACTTCTTTCCTGTGTGCTAGAGTGAACATCAACATTTTTTAAAGTCTCTTTCTCTAGCTCTTTGGATATGTAGTCACACTTTAGCTAGCTGTTTTCAGTTATTTTCAGTCTGTTCCCAAGTCAACATGGTGTCGTCCTCTCCCTTAACTTGTAAATCATGATTAGGAGAGATCCTCATTCTTTCTGCTGGAAGTGTAGAAACGTCTTTTGCAGTCCTTTGCAGTGAACTGAAAAGCTTAATGTGGGAGGAAAGCTTGAAGTGATGCAGGTCTCAGATGTTTACCACTTTGGTGAAACCCACGGGCACCGTTCTGGCGCTGACAAACCTTAAAACATAATCCGGGCGAACTGGGATTCAAATCCACAATCATAGGTTTCAATATGCCCAAGGGACGCAACTCTGCACAGTGAATTGCGGCACCTTAGACGACTGTGCCACCCATGCCCCCACATCATGATTGAAACTGTAAACTGAATGACTGTGTGAAATTTTCATTAGACCTTCACCTCAAGGAAACTGCCAAATATGTACAACAATGTTTACTTAAGAATTGACCTTCCCTTTGTGTGAGTTCATTGGAGTATGAACCTTCATAGAGTGAGGGCCAAACTGTATGAATGTCGGAGCTTGCAAGTTGTTAATGAACCTGTGGCGGTTACATGTGTTAGTCATCACTGATCAACTGGCTGATCATTGAAAGGTGATTAAAGATGCATCAAACAGACACTAAGGTAAATTCACAGAAGGTTTCTATTTCAATTGGGTTATTACATTTTTCATTGGGTAACCAATATATTTTCACTGATCTATTCATCACTCTATTGGGTTTTTCACTCTATTTGAGTTTAAAAAAGAATGAAATAATGATTTCAATGTATATAACGGTCCTATATATATACATTGAAATCATTATTTCATTCTTTTTAAAACTCAAATAGAGTGAAAAACCCAATAGAGTGATGAATAGATCATATATACATTGAAATCATTATTTCAGTCTTTTTTAAACTCAAATAGAGTGAAAAACCCAATAGAGTGATGAATAGATCAGTAAAAATATATTGGTTACCCAATGAAAAATGTAATAACCCAATTGAAATAGAAACCTTTGAGTGAAAACTCAATTGCTCAAAAAGTTATCTGGAGCTCTGTAATCAGTTTGAAATTTGACAATCTGTGTATTGTTTGGGGTTTTATGTTTTCCATTGCAACCCAACGACTGGGTGGAAAATGCAGATAAATACAAAGTAACAATAAGATATATGGATGAACAACTTCTTTATTACGATTAGGAGCAATGTTTCAGTGTAGGTTCTAACACCTTTATCAAGCAAGTGATGTGCAGAGTAAGGTTGACAAGCATATATATACAGGTATGAGGAAGTGTTTATACAGTTGAGTAGATTAGGATGTTTAGTAACACAAAAGGGGTGATATTAGGGAAACATCTTAACAGGTGAAGCCAGTAGTATAAACAAAAGATTATGACAGATTGGGATCTTTGATGAGTTGATGGTATGCATTGATGGTTGGATTCTTCTGATGTTGTTTGATGTTGAATTTTCTGATTTTGAAGTCTTTGAGGTTGGTTGTAAGGGCTTTGATTTTGTCCCACTGGATGCTGTGGTAGGGGTTGTCATGGGTATGGTCTGAAAGAGCTGACTTGGAGTCAACTATTGAGGCAGAGCTTTGGTGTTTAGGTTTTGATGGGCCTTGATGTTTCACCAATGAAAGCTTGTCCACAATTATATGGAGTGTGTACACTGCTCCTGATGGTTCTTGCTGTTGGCTGGATGGTGGTGTTCCTGTGGCTTTAATGGTGTTCTCAATTTTGGCTTTTTTCTCCAAGAGTCTCTGGATTTTTCACTCTCTCTCTCTCACACACTCCCGCACGCACACACACACACACACGTGCGCGCACGCACGCACACGCACACGCACACACACACACACACACACACACACACACACACACTCCCCATGGTATCCCCACTATCACCCTTAATTACCAAGATCTTTTGGCAGTGATGTAAAAGAGGTAGTGTTCTTAGAATTAATAGCAAAGATAAAGGTTGTTCCTTTGATCATGGGTTGGTGATATAACTAGAATAATGTTCACAGCAGTGTTGGCTTCATCACTTGTATAGATTGTATTGAATGTGATGATTTTAGGTTCAAGACACTGCATGTTCGTAAGAGGGGACAATGATTAGGCCTCATCACTTTGTGTTATACTAGATGTGAGGGTGTTGGTAGAACAGATTCCTAGCACCCTGTATAATAGGGAACTGCAAAAAAAACAGAAGCCAATGTCCCTATTACTGTTTCCTTATGCTGACTAATCTCTCTTTCCAGAAATAAGCTGATTGCGTTTGTAACCTATGCGGACATGGAGAATGCTTTGCAATGCTTGAATGCCGTTCACTTTCTGAATGGCAATTATTTGTATGTGCATTGCGTCACTAAAGACGTAAGTAAGCCATTTCTTTTCTCAGGTAATCTGGCCTTAAAGACAAAAATTGAGGGAACATCTTTGCAAGTTTCTTTTGATGTCCGGCTTCTTTTTTTACATGTTTCTATCTTCTCTACCATGTATACAACACACTCAATGTATTCTGGATTTAGAGCTCCCCACAACTCAATACTTGTCTTCCTGTGGAGATTCATGTGTCAAACCCATACAATTATCAAATTTCTTAATAATTGTATTGAAACTGCTGTTTATGTATGAAGGACATTGTTTACTTTGATGCTGATAATAATTTTTTATTATTACAGATGCAGGAACCACCAAGAGGTGAGAAAAGAGAGTTTTGTGTTCTTTTCATATAGATACCTGTGGATAGTCAGGGACAGAAACAGCCTCATTAAAATCATATATGTATCTTTATGCTCGCTACAGCTACATAAAGGTCTGAGGACATCCCATTACACAGGTAACGATCTTTCGCAAACTTTCACTGACCAATAAAATGTCAACAGGAAGTCGACAAGCTAATCAGAAAGCAGCTTTATTGAGATTGAATGACAGTACTTCCCATGGGCTATGGAAAGTCTCTTCCATTTGAAATGTTTATCTGTCTTTCAGAATGCCCTGCTTTAACCTTTTCATGCTTTCATGATTTGAAAACACATTTGGACTTTCATTTTCACACTCTTATAAGCAATGCCCTGATTGGTTGGATGAAAGGGTGTTCTGGCATCACCTGCAATGGAAAGTCTTCAAATCTTTGTGTAGTACTAAGTACAAATTAAAAGAGTACTATCATCTGATTTTAATGAGATTGTGACTGTAAACAGTATCTCATGTCTAGTATTTGGTCCTGACTAATATGGATTGGGTCTGCCCATATGAATCTAAAATGGCTGCCACTGCAACCTTTTTTATGGATGTTTTTTCTCAATGTAATGAAGTTTGGTTTTTAGTGTAACTAATTATGAGATTCAGCACATATGTTGCTCTTGTTTTGACCACACTCTTATATTCTCTGAAAATGCTGTTTCACTGACAAATGTACCATTATATTGTAATATTGGGTTAATATCGCTGTGATAATGTCTGAATATTGTTGTAATGTTAAGGTTGTAATCGTTGGGATATATACTAACACATCATATAGATAACACATGTTTTTATAGTTGAATTTAATTATTAGGATTGACTGTGGATCATTAAGGTATGAATCGAAAAACAGTACAAACTGTAGGAAACCATGTAGCGGATTCTTACAAAAGTTTACACATTGGTTTGTGATATTCCTAAATATTGTTGTAATGTTGTTGTGACAGTTGGTATATACTGTTACATCGCTGTAATATTGTTGTAGTGAAAACAATATGGTATTACATTGATGTACCATTGCTCTGATGTATTTTAAAATATTACTGTAATATTACCATAGTATTGCTGTGATATATTTTTTAAATACTGTGGTGAAATATAACTTTGTATGGATATCACGGTAGTTTTTCTGTGATTGCTGTAAATACTGTGATATATTGATGTCATATATTGATGTAATGTGGCTGTGATACAGATATGATACTGCTTCATTACTGCTGCATTGTTGCTATTATACAAGAGTAATGTGGCTGTGAAATTGCTGTATTGTTGCTGTGATACAAGAGTAATGTGGCTGTGAAATTGCTGTAATGCTGTATTGTTGCTGTGATACAAGAGTAATGTGGCTGTGAAATTGCTGTAATGCTGTATTGTTGCTGTGATACAAGAGTAATGTGGCTGTGAAATTGCTGTAATGCTATATTGTTGCTGTGATACAAGAGTAATGTGGCTGTGATATTGCTGTAATGCTATATTGTTGCTGTGATACAAGAGTAATGTGGCTGTGATATTGCTGTAATGCTATATTGTTGCTTTGATACAAGAGTATTGTGGCTGTCCTACATCTGTGATATTACCATGTTACTGACTATAAAACAAAGATACATTCATGCTTCATGCTTTGTGAACAGCTTCCGACTTGTGTAAGTCTGATGTCTCCCGGGATGCTTCTGCTATACCTGCCAGATCTCCCCAGGGTGCTCCTGCTGTACCTGCAAGATCTCCCCAGGGTGCTCCTGCTAGACCTGCCAGATCTCCCCAGGGTGCTCCTGCTGTACCTGCAAGATCTGCTGGACCCTCCAGTCCTGTGAGTCTTTGCTTTAACCAAGCTTGAAGTTCTAGACAACTTTCAAAGTTGTGTCGTGTATACAAGTCCTGTATATTCAATGACATTGTTAACAGTAGACAAGGGGGAATTCATATTCAATAACACTGTTACCAGGAGGCAAGGAGAAGTTCATGTTCAATAACACTGTTACCAGGAGACAAGTGGAAGTTCATGTTCAATAACATTGTTACCAGTAGACAAGTGGAAGTTCATGTTCAATAACATTGTTACCAGTAGACAAGTGGAAGTTCATGTTCAATAACATTGTTACCAGTAGACAAGTGGAAGTTCATGTTCAATAACATTGTTACCAGTAGACAAGTGGAAGTTCATGTTCAATAACATTGTTACCAGTAGACAAGTGGAAGTTCATGTTCAATAACATTGTTACCAGTAGACAAGTGGAAGTTCATGTTCAATAACACTGTTACCAGTAGACAAGTGGAAGTTCATGTTCAATAACATTGTTACCAGTAGACAAGTGGAAGTTCATGTTCAATAACATTGTTACCAGTAGACAAGTGGAAGTTCATGTTCAATAACATTGTTAACAGTAGACAAGAGGAAGTCTGTTCCAGTTCCTCAAGATCATCCTTCTTTAGATCTCAATCAAGCTGCTAACAAACAGGTCACCATCAAGTGCTCTCATAAGGCTTCCAGATTTCACATAAATACATCAAAATGAAATTCCCTTCTTGCATGTGACACCTGAGAGTAATAACTACGAAGAATTATTTTCTACCAATACCATAAACTAAATATTTAATTTCTAATCCTGCATTATTCCTTAAGGCATGTATTGCTTTCTTTCGACAGAAAAAGGTAGCTGTGTGAGGTTCAGCTAAAGGAGAAGTTGTTCTCTCCTCCCCCCCCCTACACACACACACACACACACACACACACTCACATTGTTTTTGATTGATTATATTTTGTTTTGAGGATGAACTTGGTAAAAAATTCATGATATGCGTTTTGTCCAGTTGTAAATAATTTAAATAGAAACATATACAGGCTGCAAATGTTGTATGATGTAATTATGTTGTCTCATGTAATATGGCAATTTTATAGTGGTACACTTTTCTTCATGTTTTGAAAATAGTATGTCCCAGTTCTAATTGCGTCTGCATGATGAAATGATGCAATAACTTTCTAAAACCTGAAATATATGTCAGCTAACTCTAGCTTTACATGATTCAATGTTGTTCTTTCAGAGACAGACATCTGAAACCTTTCCATCTTGGAGGGAACAAAGACACTGTGAAACTGTCCAACCACAAAGATTCCCTGAAACTTTCAAATCACAGAGATTGCATGAAGTTAGTCATCCACAAGATGCCATGGAGCCACAAAGGTTGCCTGAAGATGTGTCACGAAGGATGCCTGAACATTTCCAGTCACAAAGATTGCCAGAAACCTTCCAGTCACGTAGGATACCTGAAGATATACATCCACAAAAGTTACCTGAAGTGTACCAGCCAAGGTTGTTGCCTGAAGATGTCAAGCCAAGAAGGCAGTCCAGCCCAGAACATTTTGTTCCAGGTTTGACACCAGCAGACAGTGTCTCAGGCACACCACCAAATATTCCATTAGGAACTGAATATGACTGCAATGTTTCTGGATGTTTCTATAAAGGAACATCATTGCAGTTTGAGCGTCACTGGACAGAGCGACATGAAGCAAAGGTTGTCGATCTCATCTGTCCATTTTGTAGTATGGGATGTGTGGACGCAGATGATTTTTGTGAACACCTGGATTTCTTTCACGGGATCGAGGACAAAATAGAAATGTCAAAATTCTTACAGATGGCTAAACGACAGGAGAGAGATAACATTCACTTTGTCATGCCAGGCAATGTGACAAAGGAAAGCTGTATGAGAGTTGCACAGCCTGTTCAACATGAACCAACCAGATTAAAAGCACCACCCCAACAAAAGACAGATGCTGGAGAATGCACGTTTACTGGCACTATGGATGAGTCCCTTAACCACTGGAACAAAAACCATGTTTTTGAACTCATTCACCTTAGGTGTCCAATATGCCCTAAAACATTCAAGAAGGAAGCATCTCTTAAATTTCATATCAAACATGTACATCCGACAATAGAGATGTATTCCGAAAAAGAACCAGAAGATCTTGAGGCTTACTTTGAAGAGTCTCAGAACTTTAATCTCGGAAGTAGTCAGAATGAAACTGCTTTTCATGATTTGCAAAGAGAAGTACCCAAATCCCGTACACCCACACAAACAATTTCAGATGTGTGTTCAAGAAGTATTCATGATGGAAACAGGTCTACACAGACAAAGCCCACAGCTTCATCCAGTCCACCATTGCAGTCTGGCCAGAATGTGCCAAGGCCCAACTTGGTACCCAGCTTGCCAACCCAGCAGCCTGTTCCCAGACTTGATCCACCACCTCTGGCAACCCATGTGCCACTTCCTCCACTACAGCTTATTCAGTCTCAACAAAAAATTGTCAGTGCTCCGCCATTGATGGACAGACACCCAGTCCCACCTCCTACAGATATACCCACCAAACAAGCAGTTCCTTTACTTGGGGTTGTAACACCCTTCTATCCCTCAACATCTGTCCCAAACCCTGTGCCACCTTGTGTAAGACCTTCAGTCTCAACGCCTCAACCCGCTGCTGCAAGTCCATTTGATCCACCAGCATCTCCTCAGCCATCTGTTACTGGGATTGCAAATACCTTTAGTCAAAAACCGGTGGCAGCTGCTTCAGGGCCTGATGTGAGTGTTCAACCACACCAACCTCCTGCATGCTATTCCCAAACTGGACTTCAACCCCAAGAAAGTGCACAATCACATCAAGCTCCAATAATAGTTCCACCACAACCCCAAATTGGTGCTCCAGTAGTAGAAGATATACAGGAAAAGTCTTCAAAAGAGGAGGAATCCCAGAGTGAACCAAAGGTAACTGACATAACAGCAAGTGCTGAATTGAAAAGATCTCTGCAGCCTGGTTCCGTTCTTGCTCTGAGACCAGAATGGACAAAGACATTGAAGGTTACACGCCCCGAAACAACAACTCTTGACAAAACTGATTCTATGAAAAAGAAGAGCTTCACAGCCCCAAGTATAGAGACTCCAAAGTTCGATGGAACAGACCCAGATAGTGTCCGAAAGTTCTTACTTTGGAATCATATAATGATGGAAAGATTAGAGGATGCTCATATTAAAGTAAGAAGAAGGCTTGAAGCAGATGTGGAAGAAAGTGATGATGATGATAAAGAGCATCTTCAGCAAAGGAAAGATAACCGTGGTGTGGCAAGGGAAGTATTTCAGCAAAGGACAGATGGCCATGGTCGGTCAAGGAAAGAATTTCAGAACAGGAGAGATTGGAATGTGGAAAAAGAGGAACATGTGGAAGTGTACGTGGATGAATTTGGGAATGAAGATGAAGAATATGCTCTGGCCTATGTGGATGAAGATGGAGTTCATGTGATGGATGATGGTTTTGTGATGGGAGAAGGAGGTCCTGTTAAAAAGGGAGAGAGAATAGGTGATGAAACTAGTGACATGTATCATGGAATAGACCAGGGGTCAAGGAGCAATAGAATCAGGGAAGAGTCAAGAAGTCATGGTCAGAGGGGCTATGGAGGAGGAGAAACAAGAAGTGGTCACAAAAATCTTGATGAAAGAGACATGCAGATTTACAAGAGAGGACAAGAGGAGTACATTGAGGACGATAGATTTTCTGAGGAAGAGTATTTAGAATATAGAGAGGATGACAGAATTAGTATCAGTAGGAGAAACAGCAGTCACAGCATGAGGAAGAATGAGGATAGAAGGTCACAAAGGTTTAAGGAGCAAGACTCTGTCTTGGATGGAAGAAGACATTTTAGCCCTCCCCTTAGCAGGTGCATTGAAGGACGGGAAGATGAATTTGAGGCCTTTGAAGTTTCTGATGAGCTCTTTGATGAAGGTCATGAACGTTTTGTTGAAGAGGCAGATAAACAAGGATCCATTGCACATGGCAAAAGTTCCAAAACAGATGGATCAGTGAGAAGGAGTGGTAAAGAAGGAAAGAGAGGTGGAGGAAAGGACATAGTCTATGTTGGTACCACAAAATCTCGAAAGATGCGTAGCAAGTGGACTGATGATGAAGATGATCATGAGCATTCAGCAAAGGATAAAGGTACTTGTATCAAAGATAAGAATGGAAAGTTTCAGAATAGACACTTCATGGGAGGTAAAACTCAGGGAGACAAGGATAACAGCTCCAAGACAAAGGGTCAGAGCTTGAAGAATAAGGAAGTCACCTCGGAGCAGGTCAGCAGAGGTAACAACAAGGAAAGCAAAGGTGGCGATAACACTGAGGGAAACGAGGGGAAGCAATTGGAACAGGAAGATGATGATATCAGCGAGGGTGATTTCAGTGGAGATGGTAGCATCTGTGACATGGATGACTTTGACATGGATGACATTGACATGGATGACATTGACATGGATGACTTTGTTATCAAGGATGCAGTGTGAATTGGAAACTCTTTAGCTAATTATCATGAAGATACATGCCTTTTGTAAAGGGCATATGTCTTTAGCTATATAGCCCAGAAGGCAAGCTGGTAGAAGTGAGGGTGTTCTCAGTGGAGATGGTAGCATCGATAAGTTTGACATGGATGTTGTGTAAATTATAAACTTTGTTGATAATCATTAAGAATATACATGCTTTTGGAAGGAGCAGATGTTTGTACTCCTATACCCAGGAGAACAAGCTGTTGGTGATCCAACGTCACTTCTTTCCTTTGTGTGCTGAGGTAAACATCAAAACCTAATGTTTGGTGGTTTTCTGCTGGATCATGGTACAGAAATCCATTCTCACAATTTCTTTACTCATTCAGGATTTGTCAGACGTATGTTACTTTTATTCAGAAATCTATATTGCCACATCCATAATTGATGTTATGCTAGACTGACAAGGCAAATAACTGTAGAAAGTTGTATTTTTGATTTTGCATCATCATTTCAGCCCTACCCCTTGTTCTTCTGATGGACAGCATTTTAGTGATTGTATCTTTGTAAGATTTGTTTATATGTTATTTCACATTTTGATATACAATGTGTTATGCATTTCTTTATAACCTGCTGCTCTTAAGTACTGCAAGGTTGCATCCTCTGTGTCAGTGGTTCAATTATGATCCTTGGCCTGTCAACACAATACCTGTGGGCTTCTATGTGCTTCATAGGCACGCCTCCCACTTAACATGCTATGATATAACTGAAATACTCTTCAAAGAAATGCACCACTTGCTTTTATTTTTTTACGGTCTCTTTTTCAAGATTTTGGTCACTAAATTAAGTGAGTGTAAAGGCAGATGACTCTGGCTGCCTTGTTAAATGTGAAATTACCTCCCTTTTTCACAATCACAGAATTCATACCTCCAAGAGCTGGAAAGGAGTTGTAATTGTGTTAAGTGTCGACTTCACAATTGATACAATAAATTAAACCAGAAATCTAGATCTAAGAGAATTCACTGTGAAACCAACAAAAAACAAAGAATTGTTATACAATAAACAATTGCAGTACAATATGAACTAGGACGACATGGACAATAATTTACGAGGAATGACGGATTATATGTCCCAAGTGAAATTAAAGATGTTGTTTCAACATTAATTTCACGATGGACAAAAAATCTGTCATTCCTCATCACGAGTAGTTTCTTGTTTTTTACTCATCATCAGCTTATGAATAACAAGCTGTAAAGAAAGAGGGGAAGTTGCATTTCACCATATTCATACGCATGTGAAAAACAGCATCAGATTTGTGCTTTTTTACCTGATCACATACAGTCTACACTCAACACTTAGATTCTACAAATGCGAAATAGTTATTTTGAGCGGCCTTAATTCTTTGACAATTTAAGCAATATATAATGAATTTGGGAGATAAATATGCATTTTGATTCATTTATAATTGTACAACAATGAATTTAAAATGACTTGGCATTGGTGTTAATGCAAAATTCAAACCTGTGTTAACAGTGTGCCATTATTCGCCTCAAAGTCACGAGCTCTCATGACTACGAAAAAAAACCAACTGGTTTGGCTATTCTCAACAAAAACAATCTGTGTAAACTAATTCTACAAAAAGTAAGGTTTTTTTGACAGACTCTTTCAAGTGAGCATATATCTAACTTTGTCTTTTCGTTGTCTTTTAAACTCTCGCCCACTGTCATAGAATTTGTTTTAAACCGTGACAATGCTATTGTTTCATTGTAAGGTATCCCAATGAGTTGGGTTTTTTAATACTTTCTTGAATGTCTTTCATTTAGTTTAAAACGAGGTACTTGTGCTAAAACTGCTCAGTGGCTATGTTATGTTCGGTATTCTTCCAACCAAATTTCCTTCAATCTTAATCAGAGTTTCACTTTTATCGGGAACAGGAATGTTGACATTGTTGTTTACATGTAGGGAAAGCGGATGATTTAGTCAATCAGATTTTCACTTCTTACAAATCTTAATTAGTTTTTATGATTTGACTAGTCCATTATCATAAACATCATGTGTGAACGATATTTTATTTGGATTAATAACAAATATTTTAGAACACCTTATGTTGCAGATTTTACATGACAAACCTCATATATCATTTGTGGAAAATGACAAATGAGAAAAAGTAGTTCCATCAATGTGTCATTAACCAATGAAGTTACAGGCAATTGGGATCGATGACATGTATCAACCAAGTCAGCGAGCCTGACCACCCGATCCCGTTCGTCGCCTTTTACGACAAGCATAGTTGCCTTTTACGGCAAGTATGGGTTGCTGAAGACCTATTCTACCCCAGAATCTTCACGGGTCCTGTAGCAACTAGCATTGACAAAGGAATTCAGAACATTCAGATAGCACTGACTAAGGAATTCAGAACATTCAGATATGACACCACCAGTTTAAAATCGGCATCCCCATCATCATCATCATCATCATCATCATCATCATCATCATCATCATCATCATCATCATCATCCAATCTATTCATTCTTCTAATACAGTACTTATTAAAGAAATCAGGCTAATATTTCCCGTGTCAAGGTAAAAGTTTGTTGTTTTAGTTGATTTCCAAGAGTTTACACCCTAAGGGCTGTGGTCATTTTAAAGAAATCACTCAATTAATTGACGGTTTTAGAAACTGACATGAGTTTTATTTCTGAAAAGAAGAATTAAAGATCTTGATGGTGTTTTTCTTTCATTCCAGAATTAACATTTACAGATTTGCATTTGTAAACAAAGTAACTATAAAAACAACTCCTAAACAACTTCAGTTCTTCTTTCTGCATTGTGAATACCTCATTGGTGTAGTGGATAGAGCATATACATCATTGATCAGTGGTTCGGATAGTGTCTGCCCAGCGTCAGGAAGGTTGGTGTTTGTTACCCTACCTGGTGCTTAGCATTAAGGGAATAATAGAAGGACAGGTGGGCTCAGAGTCTGTATACTGTGTCTGAGTGGAGTGTCCATGTGGTATGGTTTTTCTGTGGGATAGCACTATAAAGTCAGCATTAAAGTCTGGACTCTCTCTCTCTCTCTCTCTCTCTCTCTCTCTCTCTCTCTCTCTCTCTCTCTCTCTCTCTCTCTCTCTCTCTCTCTCACTCACTCACTCACTCACATGACAATATTCTTAAGTTTCTTTTAAACTGATACATGTCTTACACTGTCAGTTATTCATATAAATATGCAACAACCTCAAGGTTTTGGGATTTGCTCTATTAGTCTTTGACTATATGTCCTTGTGATTATGTTTATGTACTCTACTCTAATTTCCTAGATATACTAAAAGAGATGAGAATATTATGTGTGTATATCATCAAGTTTATCATGGATGGTTTGTTTGTAATTCATACGAGCTATGTTGGCGATAACACACCCCTTGTTTCATGCTGCTGTTGACATTGAACTCTCCAGATAAATAACAATTCACAGATACCCTTGATCTGTTCTCATGGAGAGACTTTATAGTTAAATAAAATATACCCTTCACCCTGAGTTTCTGTATTTGTTTCAGAGGCACTCTCTGTTTACCCTGTCAAGGCTTTCATGGCTTCAATTTAACAGACAACATTTAGAGATTTTTCTCTTATAAATAATTGAATACAAGGAACATACATATTCAAAAGTATTCCTCTTACTGAGGCAGCCAGTATATCATATGTGCTATTCTTGGAATGATTAGCCCTTTGTTGACATTACCAGAGCTGCAGATTAGCAGTGTATTTGCGTAAAATACCCCCCCAAATATTCAAAACCCAATTACTTTCTATAAACTTGTGTACAATTAAATTGTGTATGTGTAAACGCATGCATTTAATGAAAAACTCAAATGTATAAAAACAGCCTGCCTAAATACCCAAATGAAGCTTTTTCAGCATGCGTACAAAGGAGCTGGTTTCCGAAATACAATTACGAGGGAACCCAATAGAGTAATGAATAGATGAGTGAAAATATATTGGTTACCCAATGGAAAATATAATAACTCAATTAAAATAGAAACCCTGGAGTAAAAACTCAATTGCTCAAAAGGTTATCTGGAGCTCTGCATTACACAAAACAAGCTCAGCTCATGTTCACCTCAACCACAGGTTACCTTAATCTCATAGTCTGAAGTTAAGCCCATTTCACAAGCTCGATCTTAAACTTAAATGTAAACTTAAATTTAAGGCAAAGGTTACAACCACAAGGCTGTATGACATTGCGAGATGAAGCCATAACTCCATATGCTGTTCAAACACAATTAGGATTCTTTGGCTATTTGTTAGTCTGTGAGTGCCTTGTTTGGACCAATTTACATAATCGTCAAATGACCTGAACGGTTACGAAATTATTGCCAACTTCAACCACATTTTAACCTAGCTTTAATAGCATGCCTACGTGTTGTTAAAACTTCAACTTTAAGAGCTGTATTAAATTTATCTTAGGTAAAATCATATTGCACAACAAATTTGGGATGGACAATGTACTTACACCCTGAATCCAATAGCAGGAAGAATTTCAAGACAAAATGCACTCATGCCTCGACAGTTACCTAAATTGTCATCACTCATTTGTGATAGTGTCAATTTTCTTTATGTAAAGATTATCAGGGGATGACAGATCAGAAACATTGGTAGAAATACCGGTTGTTAATACATGTACCATTAACGTCACTTAATATACATTCACAAGGCACTACAGATGTCAGCTCTTTCTAATATTTCCTCATTTTATAAACACGAGTTGATAAAAGTGGAAAAACTGAATTTGCAGAAGTTTTTCCACTTTTAACGAGTGTTGATGACATTTTATTTATCATCCAACACCATTCTTCCAACTTTTTCAGTTTGTTGACAATAAAAAGCAGTGTCTAAGTGTAAAAAGTACTGCTAACAGCTTCAGTAGCAGAGCCATTAGTTATGTCATTTGATTGTGACGTCTTGGTAACAATGACGTCACAATGGTCTTCAAAGCTCATTAGATTGACATGATGTCATCCACGTCACAACAAGCACCTGTCCAGACGACAAATTCACAGGGACGGGAAATCACCGACCGTCTATAAGCCTACACAAATAAAATTACAGATTGTTACGTCATTGAACGAAAAGATATAAAGCTTAACTTTACTCATTGCTGACATTTCTGACAGATAACTTATCAAATGAGAGTTAAAGATTCGCAATAGATACAGTCTACGTCAATAATTTGTAAATCTGATATTAATATCTAATATCCATGGCATAATGTTGGAAATTGAGCTGTCATGTTATGATAATACATTAAATTTTCTGAGGAGATTTATAATGTGTATTTGATGAGATATATATATATACGTACACAATTGGTTATCAATTATCTTGTACAATCACAGCATATACCATGTACATTAGATATCTATTGACTCACGGAAACTACTATTTCAGCAAACCAATCATAGCGCCATTATCACAGTTTCAGTAGTGGCGCTCCATTTGTTCACCGGCAAGCTTAATGTGGGAGGAAAGCCCGAAGTGATGCAGGTCTAAGACGTTTGCCACTTCGGTGAAACCCACGAGCACGGGTATGGTGCTGACAAACCTAGAAACATAATCGGGGCGAACCGGGATTCGAACCCACAACCATAGGTTTCTGGCGTGCCCAAGGGATGCAACTCTGCACAGCTAATCGCGGCGCCTTAGACTGGGCCACCCGTGCCCCCTCAACTCTATGAAAGGAAAGACAAGTCGAAATCGAACTTTACAGCACATCGTATCCAAAAGCGGTTAACCCAAATGCAAAAAACTGTATTGCTGTCATCATTTTAGAAGTTATATTGATGTTTTCAATAGTTGTAGTATGTTTGTATCGCGTCGGGCAATGAGGTTGCATAAGGTCTTTGCACTGGCTACTGTGCAAAATTGACATGCAAATTAAATTGTGTTTAGCCACCATTACCAAAACCAAGGAACAAAGAGCTATTCCACATCAGATAAACACTTAGATCAGACTTCCAGACGACCTCAGCTGACACTACAACTGCCTTTCTACGGTATCTGGGGTATCATTGGGTGTGGACAGCACCCGCAACTCATTCTTACACTTCACCATGAATGCGGAAGGTTATACTTTCCCCGCTACTCAGAACATTCTGACCAGCAAAATACACCCCTATATCTACTGACCACATTCTTCACAGGGAAGTCCAGCATAGCATGGTTTTCTCAGAATGGAGCCCACGTGACCACGGACAGTAGTAGTGTGTACCCCATGTCCAGGCACCTTGGTCGTCTGGGTATAACCTATTCTTGGGTAGAAGGATATGTTTACACTACACCAATGAATGTGGAATGTATACCGTGTTAATGTAGTGCCCATTTCTGAATGTCAAAAATTCTGAAATCCTGCTCAAAAATTATTTCACTTATATATTACCACGTACATGCGCATGGTTGCTTGAACAAGTCCGGACTTATACCGGTTACATCGTGTTAGCCTACTGAGATACAATGCTGCAGCTTAACATGAATACCCCACTCAGAAACAGGATAGTGACTACGAGCCGACCAGTCGTGGTTTTTCATTTCCTTTGTATAATCTCTCTCTCTCTCTCTCTCTCTCTCTCTCTCTCTCTCTCTCTTTAAAGTATTACGCAGCAAGGTATCGAACCACTAATCTTTCCCTCAACAGCAAGACGATCTATACACTATCCACAGTGAAGGACGTCATCAAAAGTAGTGCGTACTGGCATGAAGACTAATCACCATACAGCTGGTCTTGATACACAAGATCAGTAGAAAGTAGTGCCGGAACTCTCAGTACTTCTTAACACTGGTAGTAAAATGCATCTCACCAACCCTTGTTTTATCCCACTGATGCCGAGGGCCAAGCAGGGGGATAACAACAAGTACCATTAGGGCTGGGCCGGGTAACTCGGGTACCCGGGCCGGGTACGTACCGAGTAGGACCCGGGTACCCACAGGACTACCCGGACCCGTGGTTAGTCACGTGATATATTGTTTAATGACAAAAACTATCTAGAACTCTATGGTTACACTACAAGTCACTAATGTTCGCATTTCTTTCTGACTATGCACCCATTCCATCTGAATTTTCATATGGTTGAATAAAGAAATAACTGAAATCAACTTCAGTGTATGAATGACCAGATTGTTTAATACATGTATATTTATACGTTTTGCCAGGGCTATGCTAAAAATGTTCCCATTCGGACATTTTGACACATCTCCTGAGACCTACAGTAGTGAATAAGTGAATATGTTATACTTCACGTCGCCACAAACATATTGTGTTTTCGCATATTCCCGCACTTACCTTATAGATATTTCCAACGTTCCCCACACATTCACAGCTGGGAAACAATCAGATACAAAACATTTCATTGTGGATACGCTTCCTCATGCAAATTACAGACTAAAATTTCCAAAAGAAAGTTCATTGTACCGCTTAAGTCGTTCAGACGTCAAAAATAAGTGTCTAACCGCCATGTTGATCTTGGTTTTAAAAGAATTCTCACCAGTTTGTTTGGATTTGACATGCGCCCGAAACTGTCGTCAAATACACACCACTTCTGCTTCCATTCAAGATGTCTAGAATTAACGCGCACAAGAAACTCGTGCAACGGAAGTGAGTTCTGATTGGTTCAACTCGTAACCATAACATCACGTGGCACTGCTGGCGAACACCTGTGTGAAATATACAACGCTTCAAACTTGATTTGACATATGTTTGTGTAAATGGCCTAAAGCAAATCTTTAAAGAAGGGTCATATACTTCCATCGGATTAGAAATACTGTACAATGCCTGCTTTTCGTTACTTGGGTATTATGTGACCCTTTTTTCAAAATCCTGGAGCTGTGGACTGTGTTTCTATGAATATTATGGAGTTTAAATTACAGAAAATACATTTGATGATGCACTGCCATTTACATATACGACGTCCCTTAGGTGTCGCGGGTTCGAAGCACAGATCGACCGGATTTTATTTAGGTTTGTCAGCACAACACCCGTGATCGTTTCACCAAAGTGGTAAATGTCTGGGACCTGCATCACCTAGGACTTTCCTCCTCCATCAAGCTGACATGCCATGATATAGTGAGATACTGTTCAAAGCTGCGATAAACCAAACTCACCCACTCACTAAAACACGTACCAGTCACCACGATTTACAAAAAATGTAAAATGCACACCAGCGAAGCACATACAAATTCCTGAAAATGATGTGTTAATTTGCTAACTAAATTCAACCACCCTGAGACAATCTTCGAAGTGAAGCGCGGTCAGCGATTGACATTTTCAAATTTTGACACGATGATCTAGATATGTATAAACCTTTTTTTAAAATATTCTGAATACCGGTGAGAATATTTTGTGTTCGTTAATTATTCATGGAACGAAATCGACATGTAAATAACAAAATACAATAAAACAAGCCTTACAACATGACATGCTCATGGGTGTGCTCTTCTTGTCATACTGACCCAGTGTACACCAGAAAATATCAATATCAA